ACAAAGATTACAAACAGTTTCCTTATAATAAGATTAAAATAAAAATCAAAAATCAAAGGACATTTATTTGTATGTGAATGGTAGAAGAGAGTCAATGTTGCAGGGACATAAGATTATATTAATGGATTCTGTCACTCCTTTAATTATTTTTGTTTTACTATAATTTGGGGAATAATCATGCTGTAAGTTTTGAATCTACAGTTCCCATAATATTTGAGAGGATGTAAATGTTGGATTCAGTGAGTTAGCTTGTGGTTTACCTGTTTTGATGTTGTTTTTTATCTTATTTTTATTTACATTTTGGCAAATTAGCACCATTAAAAGTACGCTGAATTAGCTAATAGCAGTTCATGTTTGCAATTAACCCATAAATGTACAGACAAGTATCACTGGATTACTGTGATGCTGAAGGAAACTTAAAAACTTTTAGATTCTCAGGCAAGTTCTGGAGTTAAAAAGATGGTTTCTATGGTTTCTGAGCAGATTTATAGACGTTTATTAATAATTGACATCAGAGATAATGATATCCTCAGAAAAAAAGAAAGTCACACTGAGTCTTTTACAAATATTAAGTCTCGACTTTTTAAGACAAAATATTTGACAATGTTTATTTTGTTTAACGTGCGAAGAAACACGGCACACACCGATCAGAAATGTAGTTTTATTGATAATACATGACATAATGCAGCGCACACAGTATTGCTCTTTGTGGATATGAAGTCAAATACATGTCACGTTTGGATTACATTCAGTCTGTGTCTCCCAGGAAACATTCAAATATCATTAACACTGTCAGTCACGACCACCCACCGTTTACAATAACACTAAAGGAATCCGTCACGGTGCCGTTCACGTGAAAACACATTGGATTTAAAACCAGTTTTCATTTCCAGTTTCACGGAGACAGACAGAGCCCCTACGTGTTACTGTTCGGCGCAGTTTTATGGCATCGGGAGTTTATTGGAGTCGACAGCAGAAGGATGCTCGTGTTTAAAGCTGAAGCACAGAGCAGAAACAGAGTGAAGCATTCAGATTTAAGCAAACGGGGATAATGGAAGGATTAGTCCTAGTTTGTTCGTTAACAAAAACTTCAAAAATGCTTTTTTTTTTTTTTTTTTTAGTTTGTTTTGTATATTTTCTGAGGGACGAGAAAGGAATAGTTCAGCATTTTGGGAAAACAATCCGTCCAGCAGCATCTGTAAAGCTCATGAATGAACATGTTACATCTTGTTTCTTCCTGGGAAACTTAAATTTCTTCTACGTTCTTGTTGTTTCTTTCAGTATAAATTTGTGTAAAGTGCGAACTTTAGTCTAAATTGTAAACACATTTCCCGGGTAAAAAGCTGCAGGATCAAGGATTTATTTTACTCTGCAAAAACAACTAAAACTACACACAGAACATTCAGCACAGATGTAGGTGTTTACTGAGTAAAGCCACAAACGCAAAGATCAATATCATTCAAATAAAAATCACAATCTTCTCATCCAACTCTCTGAGAGACAATAAATAAGTTTATTTTCCAAAATGTCAATCTATTCCTTCATATTTTTTTAACTGTTAAAACCGCTGAGCATGTTTCACATCTGGCCACGCCCTGATCAGTGATGTCACTGCGGGTATTTTGCCTTGTGACGTCACTGATTAGGGGTGTGGCTAGTTTCAGCTCATCAGAAATGAATACAGCAGCAGTTTTTCAGTTTTCCTCGTTTAATTCAGGGATTTATCCGTCAAAGACATTCAAGCTAACCAATAAAGTATTCCAGTGAATTTAAAATAATAAAACAAAAAGTGTAAAATGAAGTTTCATATGTATGAAAAGCTTCATAAAGGCAACTGGTAACAGCTAATTTCTCTTTTTAAAAAAGCAGCATTTTGGTTGTTTTTGTATAGTTTTAATTCATGCTGAGGCACGAGTTAGTGTTACTGTTCATTAAGACAGCAAAGCTAAAAGGCTAAAGGCTAAAGGCACGTTGCATTTACTGAAAGGAAACAGTTGAATCTGAGTCAGATGTGCAGCATGAAGGCATCTTAAAGCTCCGTGGAAAATACAACCGGAAAAAAAAAATCAACATCACTTTCACTGAAAACAACAACAACAACAACAACAACAACTGACAGCAGGATTGTCTGAATAAAAGTTTTCCGTTACATCAGCAGGATGTTTAAAGCTCTGTCAAATATATATATATATATATATATAAAGCCATTTCAAGATACTAACACAAAATTTAAGTGTAGTACACTAAAAAAAAAAAGTCCAAAAAATTCTCGTGGGTTCAGGCAAACATCCTGACGTGAATCTAAATAAATTCATCTTCACTTTTCTTGACAGGTATCTGCTGCATTCAGACATGATGCAATAGGAATTTTCATTTTGTTTTGTTTTTTGTTATTTGCACTTTTTCTTTTATATATTTACAAAATGTATCTGAAGACAACACCAATATCAATTAGCATGAGCTATATGACTAAGCTGTTCACTGTCATTATGTGATAAGAGAAGTAAATATGTCGTATATATAACTGTGAGAAATCACCAGGACTATTCGTCTAGAGTCATTTTCAAGTCAAACTGTGAACTATTCATCTTTTTCTTGTATCTGAACACACGTTTTCAGCAGGTACTGGACAAAAACATGGCGACATTCATTCTTCTAAACTTCAAGATACTTTTCTTTAAATGTAAACAGCAAGAAGAACCTCAGTCCGCTTCTTTCTAAGAGGTTAACCTGAACCACAAGATGCCAAACAGGAAGATCCGACCCAATCATCCCCCTCAAAACAGTTCAGTACTTAAAGCACTAACACAAGTAATACTGATGTGGCCTAACAGAAGCTATCCAACGCTTCCCCACAGAAAAGTAGTTTCAAACAGACTTCAGTGTCTTAAAGCCTCGATTCACACACTCACACGTGAATCTGACGCTTCAGAGATGAAAACTGAGCAGCTGAAACAGCGGCTCATCTCCGGCAGCCGTGATGGAGCCAGAACATGATGCAGCTGATGGACATTGGTCCTGATTTTTTGTGGTAGTATTTGCTTACATTCAAAAAGGGAAGCCAAATGGTGCATAGAAAACGAGCACTTGATTTTACTTTTTGTGTGTGTGTGTGTGTGCGTGAGGTTTTTGTCAGAGGTGAGAACGGGTCGTTCGAGCTGCGTCGGCGTCAACAGGTCTCTGATCTCCTCACAGTGGTTTCTAAGAGCAACATCGCAGTCTAAACTCTGCAGGACGAAAACAAACAAAAAAAACACACAATGCAGGAGTTTGTGGGTGCAAGGAGACGAATGTCGACATCCGAGAGCGAGTCAGTTCCTCGTGTTTGGAAAGGCGAGCGAGACGCATTGAATCTGGGCTGATGCTCGAATTCAGACGTTTTTTTTTATTTTTTTTTTTTTAATGTGTCGTTAACAGATTTTAAAACTCCAGAGAAGGTAAATTAGCGCTAAACGCCCCCCTGACCTGGCAGGACGACAGGTTACCGAGGCGCCGTCCAATAAATGAGCTGCTCGCGGGTCCATGTGACTTTTGTTTACGGGGCCTGGTTGGCTCGTAACCGGCTGGTGTGAACCTAAAGCGAACCAAACGGGTCCATGTCAATTTTTCCACTCTGGTCAGGACCACAGCAAACTATGTAAAAATAAAAAATAAAAATCTGACTTTAGAAGAAACCCACGAAGAAGAAACAGATATAAAATTAAATAAAGAGAAGAATGGGTTAAAATATTTCTCTCATCCTCTTCTTCATGTCTTTTAATTGCGGCTCAGTTCGTCTTCATCATCCGTCCGTGTTTCAGTTGGTGTGCGCTATTTAAGGATCAAAAGACCTTGAGACACACACACACACACACACACACACACACACACACACACACACACACACACACACACACACACGAAAACGTACAAACGTACTTCAGGAAATCCCATAGACTCTGGGTGGATTAGTCCCTCTCCTCTAACCCTTCCTGTTCAGCACTATATGTGTGTCTTTGTGTGTGTGTGTGTTCCTCATAACCCTGGCCTGACCTAAACACACACTTATGAATATCTACACACACACACACACACACACACACACACACACACACACACACACAGGACAGAAGAAGAATACAGATTACATCAACAGACTAAACAGCATGACTCCGGTTTGTGTTCAGGTTCTTCTGCACAGTGTGTGTGTGTGTGTGTGTGTGTGTGTGTGTGTGCATCCTTATCTGCCCACATCCATCTATCTGAAAACACACTTTGTGCTAATAAAGCTGAAACCCCGAGATCAGCAGGAACAAATCCAGCGATTTAACCTGCTGAACCCTGAGAGCGCTGAAAGACTGAAGGAGGAGGAGGAGGAAAATAACTTGAGGCAGGAGGACAAGGAAGTAGAAGAGAAGCAAACTCACTGATGAGGAAGAGGAGGAGGAAGAGGAGGAAGAACAGAATGACAACTGGGAGGAAAAGGAAGTGGAACGGATGCAAAGGAGAAAATGAGGAGGAGGAAAAAGACTCAGGACGACAAGGAACGAGAGGGAAAAGAGGAAGAGGAGGGTGAGACTGAGGGGGATGAAGAAGAGGAGAAAAAGAGGGATGAGGAGGCTGAGAAAACGATGATTCAAAGAGAGAAATTGGTGAAGTTTTCTATCTTTTTCTTAAATTGAGTTTCAGGTGACGAAGTTTGACATTTTGAAGCCGTTCAGTCACGGCTTCTGTTTCTGGCGCTGACGGAGGGAAGACGAAGACACGAGGCCGAGACCCGATGATCACTCAGGAGGCGTCGGTAATAACACAGTGTCTGTCAGTGGACACACACACACACACACACACACACCAACACACACACTATTCACTAATCAGGTCCGTGTGTTCAGAACAGCGTCTGGAGTCAGATCCACTTCCCCCGGGTTCATCGTTCTCGCTCTGAATGAAACAGACTCGAGAAAGACGAGGAGGAGAATTCACATGAAGCTTCCAGAGTCGTGACTTTGCGTTTCCTCACTGTTCGTGTCTCGTTTTCCTCCTCCATCGTCACTCCGCTGCCTTGGCCGGTCCAAAAGGTCCCACCATCTTCATGGCAGCGTAGTTCTGCGGGTTTGAGAAGAAAAGAAAAAAAAAAAGATGCAGGAAGTTATTTTGCACTTCGGTCATGTGTTTTTTTCTTTTTCTCTCTCAGCCTGGTTTGATTTCATCACCGATGCTAATGCTAATGCTAATGCTTTTATTGTGTTTACTGTCTCATCCACAGACACCTTCTATTTATTACTCCTTGTAATCCTCCGTCATTTCCTTTATCTTGATTCTTCTTCATGTGTTTGGACTTAAATTTACTTTACTGTTGTGCTAGTTTTCAGAAGTTACTTTTATTCATCTCTAATTTCTAATAATCTGAATCTGCATTAGTTGTTACCCCGGCAACAACTTCCTGGTGTCATATTAAAACATACACTGTAAAAAAAACTACATACAGTAAATAATGTTGTTACAGTATCACCACTTCACACAACATGATGAAAGTATAACTGCGCTGACATACAAAACATTCATTATTTTACAATGAAAGTTAATTAAAGAATACGGTTCCATTTCAATTTAATTTTCCTCTTTTTTTAAAGTTTATTTTTCCTGTTTTTGTTTCTTTGTATTTATAATATTTTTGATTTTTTTTTTTTTTCATCTCAGTCCTTGATCTCAAACTTGCCGGGAAGGAGTAGAGGAAGACGCCGAGGAAGAGGAAGAGGAAGAAGAGGATGATGAAGAGGATGATGAACCACTTGAAGCGCCTCCACAGGATGAACTTGAGGGTCTTGTAGGGGGAGGAGAACCAGAGGAAGGAGGTCTCAGGACGCCTGGGAGGAGAGCAGAGGGAGGTTTACAGATCATGATCGCTGCTACAGTGTCTGTGTGTGTGTGTGTGTGTGTGTGTGTGTGTGTGTGTGTGTGTGTGTCTCTCACTGAGGTTCCTCCAGGTGTGGGTTCATGTTGGGCTCATCTCTGCCGACGCCGGCCGGCCGCTCCTCCTGCTCCTGCTCCGTCACGATCTCCAGAGACATCTCCACCTTCCCCTGAAACACAGACAACAGACGTGTCCCTGAGCGTCTGTGTGTGTGTGTGTGTGTTTGCTAATGAAGGAAGTGTGTGTGTGTGTGTGTTCTCACAGCGATGATCTTCTGTCCGCTCTGCTCGCAGGTGCAGGGCCACCAGCCTTTGACCGTCTTCTGTTCGAACAGAGACACCAGCTTGTCCACCGGCTGGTCCAGGAGCTCCAGGTTACATTTCTGCGGAGACTTGGCCGGACGCAGCATGTGGTTCAGGTCCATCACCAGGTGACCTGAGGAGACATTTAGAGCGTGTTCACACGGTGCTGGGCCGCGAGGGACAAAGTAACCATGGCAACCAGGAGGTCAACATCAAACAACGTCACGCCGGGCTGAGAGTTGGCGCTCAGTGTCAATGCTCAGTTTATACAGTGAAACTGAACATTATAATTGTTTCACTTACTCACATTGACTTTAATGAGTGCAAAAGAAACACATTCTTATGTTCACTGATTTTTATATTTCAGCCATTTTTCTTTTTCCTTTTTTTCTAAACTGAACTTATATAAATGTTCTGTTTTTTAAATTAGTATCTTATTTCTTTTTGATCTTTTTTATTCCAAACAAACGCTGAATGAAGAAGATTTATTCCCCAGTGTAAAAAGCCTTACTGAATTTATTATGTTTGAAACTGGACACTGACGTCTATAAAAATGTCAAAAATTGTGACTGTAAGATGAAAGAAAAGTGAAATATTACTTCATGGGTTTCTAATTTAAACATCATCACTCATTTTTATATAAAACATCACTTATGTAATGGATGAAAACAATAACAACATCAATGACACGTGTTGTTTTCAGTTTCTCCCGCTCGTGTCTTCAGTTACGAGGCTTCTGGGAAACGATGCTCAGGTCAGTAAAAAACCAGCAGCGTCAGTTCTCCGTGTTGCCAGGTTTTCTTACTGACTAATTAGGGAGTAGTGAATTGTGGAGGATCCTGTGGTGAGCGGTGGTTGGTGAAGTTTTGATCACTGTTGACATTCAGTTTGGAGGGATGCTGGGCTGATGGACGGCTGGGGAGAAACAACACGTCCACTGGAAATGTTTTTCCAGGGGCTAGCTGCAGTTTGACGGGGTGATTGTAGGAAAATGGCTCGTGTCTGACCCTCCCACCGCGCAGGGAGATTAACAGCCAGCGGTCCGAGCTGATGAGCCGAAGACAGACAGGCGCGGAAAAAATGCTTTGAGGTGGCGACACGGCCGCAGACTGGACGAGATGCGTAAACTCGTGCGGGAGGAATCGCTGCAGCGGAGCGAGACGCCGATGGACAGGAACACATCAGGATCTGGATTCCTCATCTTCCTCCTCCTCCTCCTCTCACACTGCAGACGGACGCTCGGCCTACAGACCATCATCCTCCCTCGTTTAGCAAAGAGGGAGAAGATGAACTGTAACGGGGGGGGGGGGGGGGGGGCACGGCGGTGAGTTATTTTTAAGGGGACGGGGGTGGGGTCGCGTCAGGGGTGAATGAAAGGCAGAATTTTGACAGCTTGAGTCTCGAGAAGAAAAAATAAAATCGGCCCTTCCTCTCTGTGAAATGTGCCGACACAGCGGAAATGGAGGAGTGTTAATTCTAAAGATAAATGTTATCACAGTAGTTACATCGCACGTACGGTTCCCTGGGTGGATTTAACACATAAACCTCAGTCAGGAATCAGGGGAAAAAACTGTGTGAATGTCTACAAGCAGGAGGGCCAGTGTGTGCAGGATTGCTCTGACTCTGAACCTGCAGAATATGGATCATTTCCAGGAAACCTACAACTGTTTTCATGTCAATTAAAACTGAATAAGGTAAAAAAGGGCCACGATAGCTGAGATCCCATGGTGTCAGATTCACCCGACAATCTGTAATTGTGCTGAAGTTAATGACAAAACAACAAAGTATAATTATTTCACAAGGTTTAAGAAATAAATTTTAGTTGAAAAAGCCACAAACTGTGCTTTAGAGACTGTAGAGAGAGAGAGAGATTGTAACTGTTACTAAATCTGTAAAAATACATTTGAGTTTGTTGTTGCACATGTATCATGATTATCCAGGTTATAAAATCTCTGATAACCAATCAGAAAAGCAGAATTTCTCATTCAAGATGATGTATTTAATGTAACAGCAGAAATGCAATAACTCTTTTTCTCTGCTTTGTTTAAAAGGTCTAAAAACATGAACACATGACGACACATGGAAAACTTGGTAAAGGTCAACAGAAAATAACGAAGCAACACTAAACACATTGTCCCACGCACACACAGACACACACACACACAGACACACACACACTTTCTCGGAGCAGTGTGTTTTACCGAGGTAGTCGTCGAAGGAGAACTTGTCGTTGTCCCAGATCTGGATGGTGAGTTTAGGAGCCAGTTTAGTCTCGGCTTTATCCACACTCCAGAAGTGTTCCTGCAGATACACATGAGAGAGGAACGTCAATGTTAAGGTCAGGACTTCCTTAACTTTGTGATGTCACATCAAAGCAGTCCCCAAGCCCCGCCCACCTGGACCCACCATGCAAACCTTTGCAGGAGTGCTTTTACCTGAAATCTGTTTTATTTTTATTGGATCACTCAGAAAACAGTCAGCCAATCAGAAGAGAGGCTCAGAGCCTCCTCTCTTCTGATTGGCTGACTGTTAGAAATTACAAATATATCTTCTTGTGGATCAAAACTTCAAAATAAAACACAGGAAAAGGGTAAAATATGGGACCTCTAAAATGTGAGTTCATTTCTATCTATTGCACATTTGTGACTTTTTTCCCCCCTTTTTCATTTATCCACTGTGAGTTCGGTTTTTCCTCTTCTTATTCGTCAATAAAAATCCTCGCCTTCAGACAGAAACCTCGTCATAACCAGTTTCAAAAAACGTCTTCTGAAGCCATCGTTTATGTGCAGCTGCTGCTACTGTCATAAATTATTCCCTGTCCCTTTATGAATTTAGTGAAACTGTGTCTGATGAGAGCAGAGAGAGGAAACATGTCGGGAGGCTCCTCTCAGTTCGGAGCGGCACTACGTCGACACATCTCTCACTACATCACCACTTCCACACTCCAGCTGTATGTGTGTGTAGATCTGAACACACACATCCGTACAGGTGCAACCATGTGTGTGTGTGTGTGTGTGTGTATTATACCTATTATCGCCTCTGGTGAATTCACACTAAACTGCCAGACAGTATCTGAGCCTGTCTCACCTCTGTGCTAATGGGCTTCACCGTGCAGCTGGTGCGCGGGTGAGTTTCCTCTCTTTCTCTCTCTCTCTCACTTTCCATTCCCTCACTCGTCCTTTTTATCTGTGTGTGACACCCTTTGGCTGCTGTTGTGTCGATAAAAAATATGGCTTTTCACACCTGAAATAAAATAAGTCCCCCGTGATTAGCAGCAAATGTCAATACTGTAATGTTTCCCTAAAATACTCGGTGAGGAGATTTTCCATTTAGCAACCTCACACAAAGTGGCTGCCTCAACTCCCTCCTCTGAATTTTGTGGATCTTTCTATGAACCAGGACAGATGATGATCGATTTATAGCAAAGTGAGGAGAGGGAGGCTTTTGGCAAAACTTTAATGTAATTTTTCTTTCTTTCCACAGTCGCTTGTCTCTGTTTAAAGCTGCAGTTCTGGGACTTTTACACAAATGAACGTGCGTTACATTGGAACTTTTCCCAGACGAGTCCGCGCGGCGCTGATTAAACCAGGGGAATCTCTCTGTATTTCGCAGTAAATCTGTGGCCACATTCCCACGCTGCAGCAGTGCTAGCGAAGAGTTTTACGTCACCCAGCAATGATGTTGAAAACAGTTGAAAAGGGCAGTAAAAAGGGGAGTCCCCGTTTTTTTTGGTGGCCTGTACCCGGCTGGAGCTGTCCCCAAAAAATGTCCCCTATTTTTAACTGCGCTTGTTTTGGCCAACAGAGGGGGCTAGCTGCTAGTTATAGCAGCTTCAGAAATGAAGCTAAAACCATCAAAATAGAGTTATCCAATTAGTTTTTCTTTTTTGTTGTTGTTGTCTCTAGGCAGAGAAAAGATTAGCTAGTTCACTCACACAAACTACCGAAGAACAAACATATCCAAAGCCCCACAGCCGGAACTTGAAAAAAATTGTTTTTGTTTCTTCTCAGGACAATATTCACAACCTGGAATGCTTTTATGAGAAACACTTTTGATTGTTTTGATCAAGGAAAAGACAGACAATTGGACTTAACGACTGCTTCAAAGGTAGGGAGTCGTTGTTTTATCATATAAGTGCAACAGTTACCGTGGTCAAAATACATGAAATTGATGTATTATATTGAATTATATTATAATACTTCTATGCAAGTGCATCCCAGCCCAGTTCATCACTTTTTTGTGTCCCCAAGAAACACTTCTGTCGCGTTGTGAGCATTTGCAATTTGTTTGTCTGTTTACATTTTCTTAAGTGATGGTGTATTGAGCTCTCAGGGAAATCGTACAAAAGACTCTTGAGCAGGTCAAAGTCTGCGTTCTTCTTATGTGCTTTCTATTATGACTTTTGCTCAGAGGTCTAGGACTCTGTGATGCTTGACTTTGAATTTGCAGAGAAATATAATGTGTTATTACAGATTTTTGCAAATATGCACAACATACCTGCTCCGTGTTTAAATGACAACTGGAGTCGTCTTTGTAATGACTTCACACTGACTCTCTAAATCAGAGTCTAAATCCACATCATGCTCTCACACGTCATAACAACACACACAAACACTGAGTGTAAACACACGACACCCCGCATATGTGTGTGTGTGTGTGTGTGTGCCTGCTAAAACATGTCCGTGTCAATGTGTGTGTGTGTGTGCGTGCGCACCATTTGGCTCACTTTATCCACTAACTCAGTCCAAGTACATTAAGTTATCACTCCACAGCCTTCACAAGCAGGGGTGGGACGCTATATACGAGTGTGTGTCTTAGTGTGTGTGTGTGTGTGTGCGCGTGTAACTGCTCTCTGCAATATCTAACAGCATCAATCAACTTCCTTTTTGTTGCCAGACTGCTAAGTACAGAATCTTGTCTTCTCCCTCATTTCCTCCATCTATCTTTCTCTCTCAAATCAAATCAGCTCTATTGGCATAAATGTGAGGTTACATTATTACGCTAGATTGCATACTGCTGAAACCAATAACAATGCACTTTTTAACAAGAAATAATAACAGAGTAGATGAAAACAACTATTCCTCTAATTTTTATCCCTCAAATTATTTGGAGATTGTGTTTGATGGGCGTCTAATGAAGTGTCTTTTTACCGTAAGGATCTTTAAATAAATGATCTGCAGACTCAACTTGAGTGTCTTGTCCAAACACAACACAGTTTTTTTCTTTATAACTGATTTGTTTGTTCTGTGATATAAGGCCTGTTTAAGTTCTGCTTTTTTGTCTTCCCTTAGGATAAATAACGACTTTTATTTTGCATATGGACTATCAACTGTTTTATATGTGTATATTTATAAATATGTATAAATATATAAATTTGAAATGATTCATCCAGGAAATAATCACCAGATGAATTGTTAGTGAAACTAAACGTTAGTTGAAGCTTTAAACTGAGAATCAAGAACAAATTTCAGTTAAAATTGAGAGTAAATTTCTCAGGTTAAAGTCAGAATACTGAGACAAACACAGCGCTGGTGATGGTGTCCTGGTGATGATACAACTGAGTGTTGATAGTGTTGTTGATCAAGTCCCTGTGACTCAGTGATTAACTCACCAGCCGTTGAGGCTTCAGGCTTCATAAACTCAGTTTCTGGCTCCAGCTGTGTTTTGGAGTAAAAACTCTCCACCCAGCAGAGATTTTCTTTTTTCTTTTCTTTTTTTAAATTTAAAACTCCCTCTCGTCTTTTCAGCGGCTCACTGATTGAAGATGCTGCTACGAGCGGGCGAACGCCATCGTAAAACATGTCGGCTGGGAACGGCTAAAGAGGCTCGCTCTCGGGCCAAGAAAAGCAGATGACAGCCATGTTGTTATTCCACTTTTCAGTGTGATGTTGTTTTAGCTCTTCACTAGAAGTTTCTGTTGAGTCTCGGAGATCCAACAACATCTGACTCACTCGCTCTTGCTAGTGAATTAATTCTGCTGATGGAGGATCACTGCAGATTGGTAAAGGAACGAGAAGAATAAAACATAGAAAACAGTGGAAATGACAGGTATGTAGATTGTGTTATACAACAAAAAAAAGCCTTTGTTTGTATTTTGCATCAATGTCGTATTTGTACGTTTTTCTCTGCCTCCGAACGTAGCTTAGCAAGAGCTTCAACAATTGTTGCGTTTACAAGGCAAGAGGTTATATTACGTCTTCAGGGCAGATTGGAGGCTACAACCGAGTCGCTATCGGAAAAGTGACGAGACGGGTCGGCGCTACCTGGTTAGCGTGCTAACTTCAGTAGAAGAAAAAGAGGCTGAACTCGCAAAGTTTCTTCTAGACTGGTGAGTGAACAGCTGCTAATGCTAACGTTAGCTATGTAGCATTAGCAAAACTTACAAATAGCTCCTTTTAATGGTTAAAACTTCAACCGAAATGTCACCGTCTTCGTCTCTGGTCGCTCCGAATGAACCGTCAGTGAAGTAAAAACAAGTTTTTCAGCAGAAGAAAAACAGATGGATAATAATAAAAATAAAAAAAAGGTAGATGAGAATAAAAGGAATCGTTCCTACCTTCTTGTCGACGACACACAGCCGCTCTGCGGGGAGGTAGTGGAAGGGGAACAGGAACCTGTAGTTGAAGTTTCCCTCTCCGCCCAGAGAGCGGTAGTGGACGTCGGTCTTCTGCCTGTTGTGTTCGTGCCCGTCGAGCCAGCTGAGGGACAGAGGACGGACACGGACACCGGTTGATGTTGTGTGTTACCGTCATTAGTTTGTGTGTGTGTGTCTGAGAGGACGGAGGTCGCGGTCGTACCCTTTCACGTAGATGTCGCTCATCTTCTCCCCGCTGAGGCTGAGGTCGTCCAGGATGACGTCACTCGTGTTCCAGATGATGCAACGCAGGAAAAACCTGAACGACGACAGATCTGATCACCTCAACTATTCATGTATTTATTGGTGTATTGATCACTCTTTACTGACAGTGTGACTGAGAAAAATATAATTGATCAATCGATTGTAAGACCCCAAACTGGTTGGTTAATTAAACTGGTTATAGTTTAATTAAATTGATTGATTGATTGATTAATTCACCTGAATGACTGACAAATATTCATATGACATATTCATTTAGACGGACTAACTCATTGATTGACTGTTTGATCGACTGATTGACAGACACTCTTATTGATGGATTGACCAACTAACCAAGTAACTGACACACTGAACATTAATTGACCACTCGACTGACTGGTTTATTGACTGATCCATAGTGTAGATTGACTGACCAATTGGTGGACTTATTGATTTACATATCTATTGATCAGTTTACTTAATGACTGATTGAATGATGGATTGACTGACTGAACAGCTGATTGACTGGCACACTGGCCAATTGATAAGACTGACCAACTAAGTGATAGTTAGATTGACAGACTGATTGACTGACTGACTGATTTATTGACAAATTGATCCATAGATTGACTGACCTATTAGCAGACTCATTGATTTACATATCCATTGATCAATCATTTAAGTACTGACTAACTAACTGATCGATAGATTGACAAACTGATCGATTGATTGACTGATCTCGAGACTGACTGGAGTTCGATTCCTCCCAGATTTGCTCGTCTACACGACACTTGATGTTTGTGTGCGTCGATGTTTCTACCTCTTCGCCTTGCGTGGCGTGATGTTGAACGGGGGTCCAGGCGGTCCCAGGGACTTGGGGAACATGTCCACCCACATCATCAGACGCCCCTGACGGACAGCACCGACAACCAATCAGAAGGGTGTGTAAAGAAACAAGACACATGTATGATCACGTGGGGCGTGTGTTACCTGCTCTATGTCAGGTTGTAATGGGCTGTACAGCCGCCTGGTCTCCACATGTTCAGGTACCAACCCCAGTTTCCTCAAGATGTGGAGGGATAGTCGCTCTTTAATTGGACCGAGGTGATGTTTGGACTCGTGTTTGTCCTCTGAACACACACACACACACACACACACACACACACACACACACACACACACAGAGGTTTAAGTGTAGGTCATAGCTCTCTTGACTAAATGACTGTTAAAGCTCCCAGAGTGGAGAATGGAAATACAGAAAACTGGGCGGACTGGGAGGGGAGTGGTTCACATAGGGAATTATTCATTATTCACACACACACACACACACACACACACACACACTCAGACATTAATACACACTAAGCTGCTCACTGGTCTCTGCATCACAGAGGGATGAGGAAAATCTGCGCTGCTTCCAAGCAACATGAAAATATCAAGCTAACGTCAAAAGTTTATGACTGTAAACTTAGAGTCACCTCGACTGAGAGGAGAGGAGAGGAGACAAGGAAAGGAAAGGAAAGGGAGAGTGAAAGAGGACAGAAACTAATAAAAAAGAAAGGAGAGAAGAGAGGAAGCTCAATGAAAGGTTGTGAAAAGAAGAGAAGAAAACCAGATTGGAAGAAAAAAGTAGACGAAGGTAAGAAAGAAAGAAAGGAAAAAGGAAGTGACAGAGAGATACAAAGGAGGAGACAAGACAAGGAGAGAAGGGTGAATGATGAGAGGATGAAGGAAGAACAGAGCAGAGGTGATGAGACACCGGAAGAAGGGGACAGACGAGATGAAAAGTAGAGAGGAGAGGTGTAGAAGGAAGAGTGGGAAGAAAGGTGAGTTGAAGGAGGAAGGAAGGTGAGAAGAGACCAGAGGAAACGGAGAGAAAGGAAAGAAAAAAAGTTCGGGGGAAAAGGGAGGAGGAGGAGGAGGAGGAGAGGAAGAGGAAGAGGAGCGCCGCCTCGCAGCCAATTAGCAACCACTTTTGACGGACAGCAGGCTGACGCACGGTAACCACGGCAACTTTGGAAAGAGAACGCGACGGGCGCTCCTCGCTAACCGAGAGACGACCGCGATGTTGACGTTGGCTTGACTGCGCAAAAACACACGCACACACACACACACACACACACACACACACACTCACAGTTGTACCATAAATCACCAAAACGACAACCGTGACCTTGCATCGCAGCAGCTATGGAACATATGTGATGGTTCAGTGTGTGTGTGTGTGTGTGTGTGTGTGTGTGTGTGAAAATTAATCTTGAATATTTATCTCATCGCTCAGCTCTTCAGGTGGTCCTGTGATTGAACCCCCCCCCTCCTTTCCTCCCCCCTCCATCCTCCTTTCCTCCCCCCTCCCAAGTTCTGCCGTCTCAGTAGGAGAGGAGGAGAAAGGAAGGTAAGTGATGAAGAGTGAAGGGAGGAGAAAGGGTGAGAAAATGTAGAGGAAGGAAACAAAGGAGAAAAAGAAAAGAGGGAGACAAGGGTGAGAAAGAGAGGATAGAAAACAGGAAGGAGAAATATGGAAAGAAGGAAGAGGAGCAGGTTCAGAGAGGAAAAAGGAAAAGAGGGAAGAAGGAAAGGACAGTGGAGATGATAACAGGAGAAAAAAGGATTTCTAATACGACAGAAGGACAAAAGCAGGGGTTGAAACATATATAGAGAGGTAATGAGGTACGTGTAGTATGGGACGAGGGAAATGAAAGGCAGGGAGGGGGAGAAAAGAGAAAAGGGTGAGAGTGAAGAGAGAGAAAATGAAACAGAAAGAGAGATATGGGTGGAGTGGGAACAGAGTGCAGAGTGATTTATTTGCTGTGAATTAACTGTAACGTGTAAGAACCACTACATCTGTGCAGTTTGTGTTTTCATTTGAACGGACTCTGTTTTAATGGTGGAAGGTGTGTGTGTGTGTGAGTGTGTGTGTGTGTGTGACGCCCTAAATCGAAACACAACCACACACACGGATCACACACCCAGGTCTGCGACGGTGTACTGGTCTCCCCTGAAGTGGACCACGTCGTCCTGGTAGACCGGCTTCCGCAGGTTCCGCCGCTCACACACTCTGTCCAGCAGCTGCCTCGGGGTCAGCTGATCTCGCCACTGGTTCACCCCCGAGCTGACGGGGCGAGAGACGGAGAAGGAGAGCGTGTGAGGCAGAGACGAAACCAAACGACGAACAGACAGTGAATCGGTGACAGGAGGCGTGAAGCGCGTCCACTCACACGCAGTAGGACTGCGGCAGGCCGCACAGGGCGCCGTATTTGGACAGGAAGCGGTTCTCCAGGTCGATCACAGTCTCCCCGATCTTCTCGTCTTTGGTCAGCATGTCGTGGTCGTACAGCATCACCCGCAGGTCCTTCTCCAGGGGGAGGGAGCAGGCGAACTCAAACATCCTGGAGGAAAAAGAAGGAAGACAGTCAGAGCTTTGATTAAAGCGTTTGTGACGGGACGTCCCAGGACGAGACATTTCTTGGGACGTGATGTTTACAGCTGTACGTGAGATGTGACGTAGTGTGATGTCATGTTATTGTGATGTGATGCATGTGAGTTTGACTGGATGAGAGATTCTGTGACATGATTTGATGGGACATGACGGGACGGGACAAGACATGATGTAATGTGACAGAACGTGATGGGAAGGGACATTACAGGACATGACATGATGAGACCTGATGGGATAGGACGGGACATTACAGGACAGGACATGATATAATGTGACAGGACATGAGACAACATGTCAGATACTCTGACAGTTTGAAACATGAGATAAAAATCCTCTGAAGAAAGAGAAGAAGAAGAAATCTGAACTCTGAATTCGACCCTCTGAAGATCAAAACTTCACCAAAAAAACAGAAAAATGTCTCGTCAGGAGTTTTTCAGAAGGACTGAGCTGATTGTTCAGCCAGTCTCTGAGAGCCGTGTGACGTGCCCCTTGCTCTGCTGCGATCGGTGTGAGTGCAGCGACCCCTACTGGTGTGAGCGTGAACAAGGACTCAGAGGAGAGGAAACACTGAAGAGGATGCAGAGAGGGAGAAGTGATCAGATACTGACTCAACCTGCTGAAGTCGAGCTCTTTAGTCGACCGTGCTCTGAGTGTGACTGTAAACCAGGAGATATGTTCATGGAAAAACATCTTCCTTAGTTTCAATCTGAGCAATGAGTCTTGGCTGGGGCGAGCAAATCCACCCATCGTTTAGCACGTTAGCTGAACAACGATATAGCTGTTCTCCGGTAGGTGCAGCGCATCAGACCTCGCTTTCACTTCTCCGAGCCTCCAACTAAAACCATAATTATATGTGACACAGTTCAAACTGAAGAAAAAAAAAAAGTCAGGACTAAGAACAGTGAGAACCCAAAAAAAGAAAAGCAGCTTGGCAACAGGTGCTTTTTCCAAGGCCCCATATTTAATTATATGTCAGTTGGTTTGTGGTGAACTGATTAAGTGGAAATTTGCTCGGAGCTACGCACAACTAAAACAGGCCGAAAGTGATAAAAAGCCTTAAAGAGCAACTTGACACCGAGTTTATCTTGAACGCAGCCTCCTCCTCCTCCTCCTCAAAAAACACACTCAAACTGTGTCGACATGCACGCGGTGCCAAATCCTCATTGAGTATTTATTTTTTCTCTTTTTGTTTCACCAAATTACCAACCACACACCAACCAACCACGGCTGCTGTGTTCTGTGGCGGATTGTGAAGACGTGGAGGCGAAAAACCCACTTCACAGTTTGTTAATTTTTCACATAGAGTTACAGCGTAGAGTTTCAGAGACTTATTTAAATCCATCAGCTTTAGAGAAACACAAGATGTACGACAATAAATCACAGCACGCTGGATTTCAGGGAAGGAAAAACAAGAAAGAAACAGAAAGTCAGAGAGAGTCCTTGTAATGTAAGTCATGTGCAGGGTTTAAAGCAGAATAACAGACCGAGGTCAGATGATAAATACTGAATAAAAAAATATCATCCCTTTCTTTTACATGTCGCATCAATAAAACTTTGAACTGTGCGTTTTCTTCCAAGTTGAAGTCTAGCGAAGACCAGACTCTCTGGAAGTCTGCAGACGCGATGAGCTTGTGGATCTGGATCGCCCTCGGCGCTCGAGGACTTCCCGGAAGCCGTGCTCGTAAAGTTTAAGAGTCCGCGTGTTCGGGGAGGGGGACGACATTTGGATTCGGCTACAGACAGAGAGACGGAAACCTCGAGGGGACATTACGTACTTTCCGAACACAGGGTCCAGTGTGCAGGGGATGTAGTTTTCATGGTCGTTGATGGTCTTTTTCCCCAAGGTGATCTTCACATAGGGGTCACACTGGAAACACAAAAGCGGGACACAAATTAAAGGGTTTAATATCCATGTCCACGTCTACAATGACAATAATAACCACACACTGTTCCAGCCCCCTCGTACCTTCCCGTTGGCGTCTTTGGGCTGCAGCCCGTGAGCCTGGATGATGTAGACTCGGACCAGACAGTCCTCGATGCCGTTGGGAGGAAGTTTCCTGAACTGCCTCGGGGGGACCGTGGCGGAGGGGTCGTCTGGCAGGGAGTAGATCTTAAACATACCCTAGTTGATGGATGGGGGAGGGGGGGAGCAAAGTGGACAAGACGCAGTTAAAGGGGTGAGTGATAATAAAGGAATTTAAATTCAAGAGAGTAGAGATGATCGTGTAACGGAGCAGGTGACATTTTGTGACGTTTTGTGACATAACGTTATGCAGAAAGTGATATAATAGAATGCGACCAACATTATTTAGGAAAAAATCAAGATGTAATAGAACAACACAACGTTACCGAAACATGAGTAGGGGAACAAAATGAATCATGTAACGTAAACACCAACAACAACAAACCCAGACGTGATGGAGCTGAATAGAAAAGACTGAACTTTTACCTTGAACTCTCCCACCACTGATGGATCCTCTCCTTCATCCTGAGTCCGTCCTCTGTGCAGCTTGAACGTCTGACAGAAATCGGAGAGACCCTCGACACCCTCGAGCTTCTCCAACTCCTGGTCGTACACCTGAGGGAGAGGAGAGGAGCTTATTACACCTTACTGTTGTTCACCTGACAAAGAAGTGGGAAAGAAGAGATGGACAGAGTGAAGACAGAGAAAAAGATATAGGAAGAGAAGGGGTAAGTGAAGGTGTGATGGACGTGGATGAGAGAAAATGAGAGAAGAAGAAGAAGAAGAAGAAAAAGAAGAAGAAGAGAAAGGAATGAAACCAGGATTATTTTAGTGGACACAACAAACTCATATGAACTTGTTTCTGTGTTTTTGGTGAATAATTTATTCTTACGACAACCTGGTGAACAACAGGAACACACACACAAACACACACACACACACACACACACACACACACACACATTATTCTATATGGCATCATAGTTGAGTATTGGCCAACGTAATTCCACTGGTATTGGATTTAAACTGCAGCCAAAAGCTACTCAACACTATATTACACTCACACTGCAGGGGCTGGCACAAGACAGTGTGTGTGTGTGTGTGTGTGTGTGTGTGTGTGTGTGTGTGTGTGTGTGTGTGTGTGTGTGTGTCTAAATGTGCACATACTGTATCTGGGCAGGGGCGTCTATGTGTCAAAAGCACAAAAAGATTCATTTGTTTTCATTAGTGATGTTTGTTTACATCACACACACACACACACACACACACACACACACACACCCTCATTCTTTCCCTATCATCGAGGTATGACAGCTCTGACTGCGACTGTGCCGCTGAAGAGGCGAAGTCTTACAGAGCGAGCTGGAAACAGTGGTTCACTTCAACATCAGACTAACACAACTACTGTGCTATGAAGAGGAGGAAGAGGAGGAGGAGGAGGAAGAGGAGGAGGGTGAATACAAATACACATATAGGACAAGGGACAAGGACAAAAAGATTAATCATACATAATATAAATGTTGTTTAATTGTTCTTTTATCGTCACAAAAAAGAAAGAAAAATGCTCTTTAAACCTGTAGAACTTGCTTGAGAATCTTTATTTAAGTTTTCTTCAGAATAAAAACAAAGAACATCTTCCAGGTAATTCGGCATACTTTTTAACGGCACCAGTTTGTGAAAATGTAAATGTATACAGGTTAAGTTTAAGTCTATAGCTTATCTCATATTTCCTCATAAAACTAGTCACACGCACGTGACAGCGGCGTCGATCTTCTCGTTTTTTTTGTATTATGTGCCACTGGTGGTTTTTGGGGTACAAACCAGAGATACTGGCCTTGGGAGTAGTTTATTAAAATGAGTTGAAAGGGGGAGGAGAAAGGTTATGAAAGCAACAAGATGCTTTCCATCTACTGTAACGTTTTTTTTTTGTTTTTTTTGGTCATTGAGAAACAAAGAGAACAAAGAGGTTAGTTAGGAAAGAGCGATGCGGGAGACGAGGAGAAAGAGCGGGAGGAGGAGGAGGACGACGACGAGATGAATGAAGGGTATACGGTCGAGGATTTGGGCGGAGAGGGGTGAAAGAGTTGGAAAAGCAGGGTGAGGACTTCAGGGGGGGAGGAACAGGAGAAAGAGGGAGTGATGAGGAGGGATGATGTAAACGAAGAGAGAGGTCTGGGAACAGCAGTTCGTTTCAATACTCAAACACCAAACCCAGTACCAAGGGAGAGGGGGAGAAGGTTCAGACAAAGCACTTGTGGTTGCAGGGTTGGTACATGATGCGTGGAAGTAGTAGACAATCACCACGAGTCTGACATAACTTTGTGCCGAGCGTTGGAGAAGATTGATACCGCTCTTGTGTCACTGGACGCCAATGTCACATCAGGACGGACCTCAAACCCATCGTTGGCTAATTGACACTGAGACGTTTAGCAGACGTTTGGGTTTCGCTCACGACTCATTTGGAAGTCGCAACTTAAAAACCAACAAATCAAATTATTGTCAAGTTTCGTCAGCATTAGATGTCGTCCTGACATTTTGGTCACCCGTTCAACCGAATATCAACGTCTACTGACACTGGTGGCCAAGCTGCGTGCCTGCGGTAAATATGAAGCGACCACTAGCATCTGCCAAGCTTAGCTTAAAGATTGGAAACTGGGGGATGCAATGAGAGATCTGGATAAGATCTCAGCCAAACAGCCTTGCTCACAACTTTTCCCAGCGACTTACTGCAACAGAAAAGAAATCCATGATTGTAAAAGCCAACTAAATAATTGCTGTACTACTTAAAAATACATTTAAAAGGTGAAGCTGAGGTTGAGGAGCTCGGAGGTGTGAAAACCTTGCAGAAAGCTCGGATGGTGCAAATGCAAGACGAGTCTGGAAACACTGGCTCACCGGAGCACGACTAATCCCCAATCACCAGGGGGAGAAAGGTGGGGAGAAGGTGAAAGGGGAAGGAGAGAGGTGAGCCAAGTCGTAACGAGGATGGAAACAGCGTGACAGAAGCACAGCTAACCGATTCTGCTGTCAAGGAAGACGGGAGGCAGAGGAAGGAAATTAAAGGCAGAAAGGAGGAAGCGAGGTGAGGACGGGTGACAGTGTGGGAGGGAGAGGGGTGAGCCAAGGACGGGAAGAGCATCTGACTTCACTGGAGACGGAGACAGGATATTGAAAAGGACAGTATAAAGAAGGTGAAGAGGGGAAAGGAAGAAATTAGGTGAAACTGAGCAGGTGGAAACAAGAAAACAGGAAACTGGGTTTCACATTTGATGTGACGTGTCCTCTGGCTGCCACACAGTCGTTTTCTGACCTGGTTTCTACCTGAATATCTGAATAAACATCCAATTAATTTTATGTGTGGATGCTTTTTTAACTATCTAGCATTTGCTAACAGGCCCACTCACCAAGTGGATCAACAGTTCAAGCTGCAGCAGCGGCTGTAATTAAGCTACGTTAAAACTCTTAGCGCCTTGTTAGCAACATAATAAATTGCACTCCTTCTTGAAGTCACAGCTCGGTCAAATCTGAGCACACAGATGTGATACAAATATTTTTTAGATTCAGCGAGACTTGCACTTTCCGAGGACGTAAAACTTCCGGGGAAAAAAGCTCTTCTACCTCCAGAACTTAGTTGAGAATCATCATCATCAGAGGCAACATCACAGATTTCACTCCCAACTTGTCACGTACGGACGCTTAGTCAGAACTCCTTGGCATCACGCAATGGGTACCACTTTAGCATCATTTTTCAACATGGTTTTTAAATGAATGAAGTGCTATATTTATTAACAGCTGTGGAGTCACCAGGGAGTGGGCGGTCGGGGTGGATGGCAGACAACCCCGCTCGTTGAAAAATGATGCTAGAGGGGTACCCGTATGCGTGATGCCAAATTCTGACTAAGCGTCCATATGTGACAAGTTGGTCAAAACTTGAATTTTGCTCTTTAAGAGAAAAATACAAATATATCTGCAGAGAAAAATGGATAAAAACTTTGACAGGATCAATAGTAGTGTGCGTATAAGTTATAATTATCTGTCCTTTTCTATACTGGACGAATCCTTAGCCACACAGGTTGTAATTTTCAGGCATTTCTAATTTGCTTAACTGGTTATGTTTTACAGTATTTAGCCTTTTCCAAAGGTCGTTCTGTAACGGACCTCCATGGTAGCAGCAGGGGATGGAAACAGAAACAGAAAGGTGACAGAAAAGGCAGCAGAGCCGAGGCCGAGAGGAAAGGTGAGTGTACTCAGAGAGAGAGAGAGAGAGTTTACCTTGGGTCAGAGCGAGGCTGGAAACTGTGTCTCAGCTGACAGTAGCAACCCAAAGATTGTCAAAGGGCAGAGGGAGGAGAGGAGGTAGGAGGGTGACGAGAAAGGAGGTGGCAGCAAGGGGGTGAGAGGAAGGTAAAGGGGGTAGGAAAGGTTGGAAAGAGTGGCTCATTTCACTGTGACAGTAGCAGATCTGAGCAAAAGGGTTCGTCAAAAGGAAAGAGAGGAAGAGGAGAGGAGAGGAGAGGGATAAATAAATGGCGTTGGCACAAGAGGAGGGTGGAGGGGATGAATGAGTGGAGGGTGAAACTGAGGCAAAGCGACGACGGAACCAGTGGCTCATTGGTCATTTCGTTAGTTTCCATCCAGCTGTCGAGTGAATTTTGAGCAAAGTTTTTGAGATGTCGCAAAAAAAAAAAAAAACTCAAAAGGCAACTTAGATGTGTTTCCATCCGCCGGGGTGAAACCGTTTAATGGGCTTCCTGAATGTAAAAAAATATACACCCACCAAAAAAAAAAAAAAAAAAAAATGGAAACAGCCTTTCACGGGTCGGCGACTATTGGGGAAGCTGTTATTGTTCTCTATTGTGCCATTTAGTTTAGTGGAGCACGTACAACCTGGACTTTCTGGAACATTTCTGGTAGTTAGAAGGTAATTTTCAAATACCACTTGGCCCCATATTTTACTTGTACCTCCAAAAATTTGATCAAATGATTTATTAATCTTCCACAAACCTTTTTTTTTTGTAAAAGCTTTTTCACAACAGTTTAAATCAGCAAGAAGAACTCTTGTTCAGCCTTTGTATGCAAGGATACATGAAAAACAAACCAGAGGCTCTATTAAGTAAGAGAAAGGACAGAGTTAAAGCTGCTGCACTGATGTGAAATGGCTTTCAAGGGAGAGGTTAGAGGTCTAATTTAAGAGCCATAAAAAAAGGCCAAATTCTGACATGATTAGTCATTTGTTTGGGCATCAGACAAGAAGACTGACGTGTGCTTTTGAGTCCCGGTGGAAGAAAAGGTCGGCGTTTGGGCCGAGAGAATCGGGATAAGGGTTGATCCTAGCGTGGGCGATGGCGGGGGGTTTGGAAGGGGGATGTTGCTCCTGGGACGGTGGCTGAACCGTGGCAGACTCTTAAAGAAACGAGACTAAAGACAGACGTGGACGGCGGCTGGCGTGATCGCTCGTTTTCGGACTCGCCAACATCGGAGCGCGGCCTTTTTTTTTTCCCCGCGTGCCCTCCCACTGCGGCGTTCCCGAAGCGAATTCACCACGGGTGAGTCATCGGAGTCGTTCGGAAAACGGCTGGAATGTCACGGCGCCGGGCTTCGAGGAGGACGGGGCATGAGAAGAAGGAGGAGGAGGAGGAGGAGAAGGATGGAGGGATGGACGGACGGACTGACGGAGGGAACTGGCACGACAGCAAAAATGTGATTTAAATGGTGAAGTTTGGGGCAACGAGCAAAACATCTTAAGAAAGTGGAACAAAGGGCTGCACTGTCTCCATCTTCTTCATGTTTTCCTCTCTCACATTCACTTCATTGATCTTTACCTTCTTAACAATTTTTCATTTTCTCTCCAACACAATTTAGGCCTGGAGACAAACGCATGCACACGGTTCAAAAAATATTAGAGGAACTCCAATTTATTTTTTTACTACTGATCACTGGTCATTATTCTTGTATTTAATGATACATTTTTCCAATGACAGCATTCTTATACGTAAATGAATAACTAAATATAAAGTTTAAGAATAAAAGTTAATAAATATAAACAAGAATTACTCAAATTTGTTCCATAAACTGCACAAATTGCAAAATTTATGAGTGGAAAACTTTCAATATCACAAAAAGCTAACAATGCTCTGAGAGCATAATTAGCTATTAGCATCTAGTATATGGATTTTAATAAGCACCAACACCCAATCTGCTGAAACTGTAACTAGCAACTAGCAAATATTTTGTGTTTTACCTGATATTTGACTGAAAACGCTCGTTATCTAAATCTGCTTGATTGTTTTCTGTCTATTGCCAACTCAACTTATTGTGTGAATGCTAACGATATCAATTTCAACACATACACACATCCATCAAGAAACACCACACCCCATACTGTGCATTCATTTTCACACGCTCACACACATTAAACCCACTGTCTTACCTTCAGCGTGTCGAAGCCTCTCTCCAGGTACGTCCCGTACTTGTTTTTCTCTCCCGTCGAGGCGTAGAACTTACTCCACCAGTCCATGAACTCTTCTTCCTGTTGGTCACATGATCAGAGGTCAGAGGTCGGCAGGTTGACAGTGGATTGGAGACACTAATGATGCAGATGGAGATGAGAGTAACTGAAATGTGTTTAGGTTTGTTGTGTTGACAAGTTTTTTTTAATCAATATTCTTTATTACAAATTGCAAAATTGTGTATTTTTATATTTTACCCTTTTTTTTAAATATTTGCATTGGATTCATCTCCACATCTTTATTTTTCTTGCAGACTGACTTGCCAAGTTAAGATTCTCCATCACTAACTGGGTGTAACTCCATGTAACATCTGAGCTCCACTTATGACCTTTGACCCTTTAAAGCCCTGTAGCGAGTGATGTTTGCCTTTGTAGAGGAGCTCAGCCCGCTCTTCATGATTTTTCCAATGATCGCATAGCAACATGGAGTTCGCCAACTCACGTCAACACAAGTAAAAAAAAAAAAATTGCCTCTGGTGGCTCCGTGGCATTAAGGTGATGGTATATGGGCATTCTGAGGCAATGGAAACGGGCAAACACTGGGATGGGAACAGGCACAAAAGTGGACAAAACCAACATGGACATCAGAGGAAACACAAAAACAGAAGTCGTGTATGTATGTTTAGATATGAGCGAGGACAATCCCTTTTCCATCACTCCTCTGTTTCACGTAAAATATCCTGCAGGAGACCAGGGCAGGTGGGATGAAACCTTGCACTTTCTTCCTCACTGAAAAACACCGATCTATCGTGTGTTATTGTGCTCTCATTTCGTCTGTGCGTGTTGCCAGATTCTTTGACTTATTTTTGGTCTCCGGGTGCATGACGTGTGTGGTCACAGCATCAGTGGCTGAAAGTAGAACTTCTCCACAGGGACTCCAAATACTCTGAAGTGGACTTCAGCTTGTCTGGGGACTGCGGCCCTGACGTTTGACCTCCTCGGGATTGGCTGGTGTGATAATAAACATGATTCAAGACAGTGAGGAAGAGGAGAATCTAGTCCTAAGTCCTGGACTTTGTGCCCTCGAGTCCTGATTTCCAACGCGGTTGGACAACCAACATTTACAATCAATCGTAATTTCAGAGCTGAATGATCTGGTTTTTGTTCATAACAGCGAAGTCTTGTGTCTGATTATCGATAAAGACTTCACACAATCCCACGTCAAATAACCCGAACTATCACTTTAAGTCTTTTTCTTCAGGTGCAGGTTTCTTCCACATCTAAAGACTAAAAGTCAAGTGAAGTCACGTAGTTTTTGTCAGTAGAAACGTCAGAAAACCCAACACACATCACGCTCTGCTACATTATGTGAGCTCTCGCTGAGCTTTAAGCAGTGATTGGAAATCTCCAATTCATCTCTTTCTCACATGATTAAAGAAATCTGCTCACAAACTTACCCACTGTATCATCTAGCGCCCACGTTAAAGAGTAAAAAACAAGTTAGACAGAAGTTAAATTTCATCATATGCAGCACATTCATTCAATAACAAGACACACAACGCTGACGCGGTGTAACCGCACACTAAAATAACAGGATTAAACACGTTTTAAGTGGCTTTTCAACACATTTCTTAATAGTTATTCTCATAAGACATTAAGGGTTTCATTCCAAGATGAAACCTACACCATTTAAAAACAAAAAAATAAATAAAGAAATATATCCCTGTATTACAAAATGACTTCTGGCATGAAAGCGGAGGCAGTTAAAGTCTTACTATTACAGTCATGAGTCACCCTGAGGCCAGCGCTCACAATGTCGTTCTGTTTTGCAGGATAAAATATCTTTGTTTTAGAAATGTTGACTGACGGCTTTTTGTGGCGTGGATACCAGTCATTTTAATTTATATGATATGATTTTTTTTCCTTCTTTTTTAGGGATGTGTAACATCTTTGAATGAAACCCTGTTATTTGGTTTTATCAAGACTTTTATTTTCTCAAGTGCGAAGCAGCGCCATCCATCAAATTCACTAAAAGTCTGTTCACATTGGCAACATGGAGATTTTCTCAACACTCATTTTGAGGGATTTTCTCACAGAAGCGAAACCGCTGTCTGCCCGACTGTGTGTGTGTGTGTGTGTGTGTGTGTCTGTGTGTGTCTGTGTGTGTGTGTGTGTCTGTGTGCCCATTGGCCCTGACGCAACGAGGAAACAACGACTACAAAGATGGGGAATACCGAGGGGACAGATCAAACTACCAGCCTACCCCTTCACACACACACACACACACACACACACACACACACACACACACACACACACACACACGCATAAAAACATACATTTCATTTCGACCCGTCCCGCCCTGCAACCTTCAACCCTCTGAGGAACACTCGAGCTTAAAACACACTTGTGACGCATGCACCATTTTTTCCTTTGTGTGTGTGTCTGTGTGTGTATGTTTTTGTGTGTGTGTGTGTGTGTGTGTAGACATAAATGTAGAACAAAAGTGCTCTTATAGCACTGGGTTGGTGTGGAATCCCCTTTCTCCTACTTCCCACAGACTTAGAGACACACACATGTAAACACACACACACACACACACACACACTGAGGAGGGGAAAACTATGGAATTCCTAATTTTTCCAAAGTGGCAACATGGCATGGAAAAGGGCAGCACGTGGCGTTTAACTAGGACATGACACACACACACACACACATACACACACACATATACACACACACACACACATACACACACACACACGCATGGCGCTCAGTGTCTGAGGCGTGAAGTGTCTGGTGTGTGTTAATGCGTCCTCTGTGGGCAGCCAGTGCCAAGCATTGATGACAGGGGCGCCAGAAACTGTGTGTGTGCGCCCACCAGTGTGTGTCAGGGTGTGTTCGCTCAAGTCCACGACTCCTGATTCAGACAGATTAAGGCCGTCGGTGGAGCGTTCCAGACTGCAACGTGTATTAAGCATACACTCAGGAGATCGAACACACACACACACACACACACACACACACACACACATATATATATATACAGACACACACACACACAGCTTGCAGTGGTCTGTTCAGGGTGTCAGTGCGGTTTGCAGCCTATCATTACGCCCTGCAGGGAAAGCCAGGCTAACCAAACCAGACTGGCACTGCCAAGACCGCTGCGAGCGGAGAGGCTGGATTTACATAAGAGCTCCGAGCTGCTTCAATACAAACATTTTTTTGTGGGGAAATCCCTTCCACAGCACGGGGTCAAGGGTCATGGGGTCGGAGCAGGAAAGCTGGAGCTGGAAGAGGCTCCACAGCTGCATCCGTCAAAGTAAAACTCGGATGGTACAGACTCAAAACTCAAGACCCAAAGAGCTGACAAAGTGTAAATACCAGTGATAATCTGCTACAGGATGCTGAGCAGTGTACAAAGCTCATTATGAATATGAGAGGGGGAACAATTTAATGATCATGGACCATCAAGAGCCTCCAAAAACAAACCACCTGCTGAGGCGACTGGTTGGAATAACAACTGGCGGACTGTTGGCCCTCCATGGTACATGAGCAGGGCCTCCTGGATCATGGGACACTGGGGGCTGCAAGTGTTGCAGAGGTTATGAATTGGGCCTGAATTCCTCAACCACAACTGGAGGAGATTTACAGGCCTTGTCGAGTCATTACGTCGTATTCTGTCTAAAAATGTGGACTTTTTAAACTTTAATCTGATTTAAGACGCAGCTTCAGCTCAGACACAGGGAGGTTTGGTGCTGAACCGCCGGGCCATTAAAGCCCAAAACCTGCACTGATTTTCTCTGACCCCGTTCTGCGTCTCCAAAATAAACTGGTCGACGCGAAGAATGTGGAAAAACTGGGATGGATGTTTCAGCGGAGCTGTTTGTGTGTATTTGTCATTCCCTCCGTTTGTGGTTTCGAGGCAGAGCACCAAACCTCAAGTAAAAATTTGTGGCATTTTCACATAAATAAATGTCTTCTTTGCTATCACTGATTGACATTGCACAGTAGTGACTTAATCTACGTCTCGTTCCTGAAAGCTTTTCCATTTGCTGCGAAGCGCTCGTGCTGCCTGCTACTTCTTTTCTTGGAAAACTCCTCTGACGTGCAGGAAACGAAACACACCAGACTTCCCGCTAGTCTGGAATAACCTGAAGAAGAACAGGGCAGTTAGCGTTAGCAGTGGTCACCGCTTTAAAGATCCACTGATGGGCTGTTTACTTTTTTAAAAATCCTTCATTATAAAGCCTGTGTTTAGGCTGAGGAAGAGATTATCCACCAATGAAACTTCTCCAATACTACTTACTTTGATTGGAAGGTTTTTTCCCATGCCTGTAAGTACTTAGTAATTCAGAGGTTAAAAGACATCTGAATGTCTACAGGTTAAAACTCGGCTGAACTTTGGTAAAAAGTGAAAGTTTATTAGGCGTCTAGAAAGCGCTCAAGTCCACAGAGAAATGCACACATCCTGTAATTCAGAAACTGAGCCTTAAAACCAGCTGGCAGGACTTCCTGTAACTTTGTGATGTCACAACAAAGCAGTCACCAAGCCCCGCCCACCTGGACCCACCATCCAAACCTTGCAGGATTTGGTTTCTCTGAGTGTTTACGGTATCACGTCTTGTTCTTGTTCTTGCTCGGATGAGACGTCGAACAAACAAGTTTGTTTCAAATGAACCTTTAAACTTGCACAAACTGATATTTTCGGCGACTCGAGGGGGGGGGGGGAAACTGAAACCAAACACGTCTGTTTATGCGTGTCACGTAGGGATTGTTAACTCAGAGGAGTATCCGATACGCGCAACGTCTGGCTCGCGGGCCTAACAGTGAACTTATAAAAGCAGTGAACCCGTGTCACCCAGAGGTGCACGGACACATCTGAACGACTTTTCTGGGCAGCAAATATGTGCAGCGTTCACAATCTGGAGGTGAACAGCGGCTTACATCAGTCTGTGGCTGGAATTAGCAGAACAAGAAAAACAACAATGATTTAGTAAGCTACTTTGACATCTTGTTTCTGGTCACTGTGTCCACCAAGGGCCATAAATGTGTGTTTCATAAACCTCCCCCCCCTAAAAAAAAAAAAATGCCACAAAGTCACCTGGCATGAAGCCACCTCAGTTAGTTTCTCTGGTCTGGGAGCAGCCAGGAAGGATTTATGGACGTAGAGGCAAACGACAACATTTTCAGAATGAGATTTTAACCAAACTTGACTGTTTTTTGGCGACGAACCGGAATAGAGGAGAGACACGGTGCAACCGCAGTTTATTGAAGGGACACATATTCATATTTAACACCAACAGAAAGACGTAGCCGCATTACATGGAAGTGACTTGACAGCTTCTTTTTTTTTTCCAAATACAACTAAAGGGGTGAAACAACAAGAGGGTAGATCGGTTTGATCCATGACAAACACCGTCACGAAGCCTTGGACGCCGCGGATGAAACGTGACACACAATGTTCATTTTCCACCCGAGCGACGTATGATCTCAAACATCTCGGCGGGGGGTCGATGGCTCCGACTGACAGCCGATCTTCTTAAACTTTTTCCAACTCTGAAACTGAATCCGACTGATCCGCCTTGGACGGCGCGCACTACTGAGCGCACACTCCGCTGCAGTAATCTGGTAATCATCAGACAAAACGCCCATGACCCTTTTTTTTTTTATTTTTTTGGTCGCAGCCCAGAGATTAAGAAGCCAGGATTTACAGCACATGAGAGAGCGAGCCTTTCTGTTTCTGGTGCCTTGAGATATTAGCCCCCTCCTCTCTTCTTCTTTTTTTTCTTTCTCCTCATTTCAGTCAGATTTCTCCTGATTCTTTTCGTTCCCCTCGGCTTCTCTTTTAGTCACTTTCTCCCTCTCTCATTTATCCATCCCTCCCTCGGCCTTTGGTAACTGTCTGCTCACGGAGAGTTGTGGTATAGAGGATCTATAGCAGCTCTGTTGACTTTGGCCCCGGCTAGACAGAAAACTGAGCCTTTAATTTGACTGGTCTCAATATCTGACCCTTAATAAAACAAATATCTTTGTTTGGAGAGAAAGGAATCATCCCCCCAATTACTGTCGACGAGGAGGGAGAGAGCACTACTGGATGTGTGTATTTGTGTGCATAGTCTGGTCCGGGTCAAGCTAAGTCTTCAAATTGACCTGGCTTAGATAAATAAAATGGAAGAATGTAACAAGGAGCGTGGTCTCCCGCTCAAATCTGGGATCCCATTTCTTCTGCGACCGCACGGCTCGGCGTGTGGCGCTCTGTAAAAAAAAAAAAAAAACCCTGATTTCTTGAGTAGAAAGTATTTTTCCTGAGCCGAGACCAAAAAAGCAAAAAAAAAAGTTTCATCCGAGAGCGAAAGAACGTTTTTCTTTTTCGTCTTTATCTCATTCCCTCCAGATCAAAACCCCCCCCTCACGTCTCCGCAGCCGGAGTTATCCGTCAGTGTCTTACTTCAAATAAACTCCATCAATAAAAAAGGGCTTTCACTCTAAAATTAGATCTCTGCTACGGTCTGCTGCCTCGCTAGTGAAGCACAGTGTGGGTCTCTATGAACACGAGGAATAACATTTAGCTAGAACATATCTGAATGCATGCAATACAATCAGATATTTTCCCCCTACACTTCCATACATTCATTGGTTTCCATTCATTTCTGTGTGTATGAAAATCGGCTTCTTTTCCATCACAGAATCAATTTTACTAATCACATTAGTTTACACTGCATTTTTATTGTAAGGTGATAGTTTAAAGAAGTATTTCAAAGAGTTTCGATGACGAGATCGATGACAAGATCGATACCACGTTTGTTGTCTGAAAGCGAAATATGAAACTTCAACCAACAGGTTACGTGAGGGACCGAGAAATAGTCCCTGTAAAACCACAATTTGTTATTTTTAGACTTTGGGTTTTGTACATATTAAACAAATGACTCGAGATGGGAATCGTTAAGATTTTAATGGTACCTATAACTCAACGATCATAACCTGCAGTTTTAACAAAATGACACCTTGTCAAATGTAAAATGAATGTATTAACTTTGCGGTTTGTGAGGTAAAGTTTTAAGAAAATCCACACTTCTTGTTGCCAATGTGAACAGATCTCTATCAAGTATAAAGTTTAATGGTTATTGAGGTCATCAAATGCGACGTGGAAGAGGAAGATGCGACTAAGAAATAAAGAAAGTCGTAACGTCTATATAAAAATTTGATGGATGGTTATAAAATCAAGGATTAACGCAGGCAAGTGGGAAATATGCTTGACGACAAGTGTTTGAACATGAATGAATGAAATGAGTTAGAAGGTGAGTTTGTTACCTACATGAAGGCTGGAACTAGAGGTTGAAAGGTTAATGATAGCAGAACCGGCTCCATCTGTGAGCTACGAGACAAACACACACATTTATGTACAACACACATCTTTCAGGTTAGCTGTTAGATTAAGAAATGAACACCTGCAGTACGTTGTGTACAAAAAGACAAATAGTATGAAACGGGTAATCAGTCAGAAAGTAGGTGTGTAATGTTAGAAATACACAGAAAACACACTGTGTTCTTAAACAGTAACATCAACAGACATATATTAGTGACTGAAACACACAGAAACATCGTCGTCACCATCACAGCAACAACTAATCAAAAAAATGCGACGGAAAAACTGAGCGGGTCGCCTATCTTTCTTTCCCTGGGAGGTCCCGCTTCTGCGAGGTGCAGACAGCGGCGCTCGGTTAACGCTGATCGGGCGCGACAAAGCCCAGATTAGAAAGACAAAGTGTTTACATGAGGTCACGGAGGAGCTGAGCACATGGAGGAACGGGGGGGGGGGAAGAAGACAGGAAGGGGTGAGGCGAGGACGCACCCGAGTGTGAATACAAACAATGTGGGTAAAAAAAGGAACAAAGTTGGGTCATTTTCTTTGGGTTGTTTCACTCACATCACGGCTAAACTACAAAAACGCTGTAAATAAAAGATTCTCATTCAAGAGTTACTGTAGATGACAAGATAAATAAAACTCATATCTGCCTGTCAAATGTGAAGCTACAGCTAGTACACTGTTAGCTTAGCTTAGCATAAAACCTGAAAACAGTGAGGCAGCTAGCCGCTAGCCAGCTACTAGCTCGTCTAAAGCTCTCTAATTAACATACTGTATCTCCTTTATTTGATTAAGTTTTTCCTTCAAAACTGGGGAATTTCCAATTTGTGTGTTACAGTTTTGCTGTGAAATTATCATCAAATTTGCCACTGTAGTAAAAATAAAGCAAGAGATTTATCCATGGTAAAATGTTTTTTAATTAAAAGTCATAAAACTGTCAGCACCCAGATAAATAATAGTAGTTTGCAGAGCCAACTGTGGTCAGCCAGCAGTAAACATGCTAGTTAGCTAGCTAGATTAGCTAACTAGCTATAGCGCTAGCCTGAGAACCACCCATCAGTCTCCTGGTCCTCGTGGACCCTAACCCTAACTTAGCCTGTGTTTCTAACTCGGTGTGGCATCATTAAAAGATGCTGGTTGCATTATGGGAAACGTAGTATTCAGTGTGAAATCCTAAATGCTAAAGTAACCCTTTAAATAACACAGACCAGAGTTTGACCCCATGTCTAACCAGAATCAGGGGTCTGTGACTAATCTACATGGATATTTAGATTTAATCTTCAATCAGCTTTGACACTAATGTTAAAAGCATCAGATAAAACAATGCTGCTTGTTGCTGAGGTTGTTGCACGCCTTCAAATTTCAATAACTGCATAAAAGTGATTCATCGCTCGGATCTGCCGAGGATCTGCAAACGTTTTGGGTCGACAGGCGTGCAGAACTTTCAGCTGTCACCGCAAATGCGTCCGCGGGTTTGCGTCACTGTTATTGTATCTGTGTGAGTTGTTTTGATGTTGAAGCGCCGTTATTGGACGGGGGGCGTTAATGTCAGAGTGTGTTTAATAATTTCAACACCCCACTTGGACTCATCACACACACACACACACACACACACACTGTACTGTACATATTTGGACGTGTGATGTCACCAAACGTTCAATGTCACCCCCCTCAAACACAACAAGACAATTCAGTTTTTGCATCAGCGCAAGAAAATGGAAAAACAGTGTGTGTGTGTGTGTGTGTGTGTGTGTGTGTGTGTGGTTTGGAGAGTGAAGGGGGTCAATTTCAGAAGTATGAGGTAAGAACTGTATATTAGAGACAGTCCCATGATGTCTCGCCATATGTCCTTATGTTATGCGTGTGTGTGTGTTTGTGTGTGTGTGTGTGTGTGTGTGTGTGTGTGTGTGTGTGTGTGTGTGTGTGTGACGGAGCAAAGAGAGAGTGCGAGAAAGAGGCTTTGACTTCTTAACCGTTTTATAAAATCAGTGTTTTTGATTTAATTCATTAATGCACGCCATTGACGTGTGTGTATATGTGTGTGTTTGTGTGTGTGTGTGTGTGTGTGTGTGTGTGTGTGTGTGTGTGTGTGTGGATGAGGCTGTTGTGGCGCCTGTGGGTTATGGAATAACAAAAAAAAGAGACAGAAAGAAATTAAAAGAAAGACAACGAGCAGAGAGGATTTAAAGTCGATGGAAGGATCAGAGAGCAGATGAATGGTCGACCGACCACAACAATGAAGAGAGAGAGAGAGAGAGAGAGAGAGAGAGGACAACATGAGGATGCCCTTTAATGAGCTACCACATTAAAACAACTGTCAGCTTGATACATAGAGAAGGACAGAAGGAATGAGACAATGAAAGAGTGGAGAGAGAGAGAATGTGAGAAGAGAGAAAAATGGAGAAAACAATGAAGAGGAATGATGAGAGGTGAAGAAGAAGAAAAAGATAAAGACATGAACACAGAAGAAAAGAGGAAGAGGTGGAGAAAGAGTGGAAAGGGAGAGGTAAGGACGGAGGAAGGAAGGAGTGAAAGAGGGGGAAAGAGTGTGAGGAAGGAAAGAGAGGAAAGGGAAGGAAGAAGTTTAGCGTAACGGAGCAAAGGAGTTGTGTCAGGATGAAAGAGTAAAAAGAAAAGAAAGAGGAGGAAGGAGGCAGTAAAAGAGGGAGAGGAAGAGGTAAAGAGGAGAGAGGGAAGGATGGAAGAAAGAGTGATGAGGAGTTGTGCATGAAAAGGGTTGAAAGCGAGATGTACACAGTTGTGCAAGAGAAGGTATGTGAAGAAAGAAAGAAGCAAGGAAAGGAAGGAAGGGAGGATGGGAGGGAAGGAAGACAGAAAGAGGGATGAGAAAGTCCTTTAGAAGAGGAGGAAGGATGGAAAGAAACAAGAGAAGAAGGAGAAAGGGAGAAGTGAAAGAGAGAGGGATAGAGGTAAGAAGGAAGGTTGTGCAGGAGAAAGAGTGTGAGAGAGGAAGAAAAAGGGATGAAGGAAATCAAGAAAAGGGGGTGAAATGAAAGGAGGGAAAGTTGACGGGAGGCAGCAAGGAAAGGCAATGAGGAGACGAGGAAGGAGGGGCAGATGAAAAAAGATGGAGGGAGAGTTCCAGAGCGGTCCTGAGGGGATAATGAGACAGAGGACGACTAACAAGGACCAGACTCTCTGTGTTTGTTTATACACACTGTAACACACACACACACACACACACACACACACACACACACACACACACACACACACACACAAACCACAGGGTCTGCCTTGTGTATCATCGACAGTAGCAGAGAGATGGGGTCAGATTTTCCCCGTCAGTGATCACCAGGAGGAAGACTTCACTGAGACAAAGGAGAAAGAGGGGAGGAGGAGGAGGAGGAGGAGGGAGGACAGAGGAGATGAAGAGGAGAGGAAAGGAGATAGGTGCAAGAGGAAGGAGACGAAGGAAATAAATAAGGAGAAGGGAGGAGGATGAGGAGAGAGTAAGAAAGAGGAGGACAGAAGAAGATGATAAAGGGACGGAGGTGAGATGAGTGAAGGTGGAGAAAGATGAGGGGGGAGGATGGAGGACAGGAAAATGAGGAGACAGAAGAGGAAGAGGAGATGAGGTGAGGAAGCAAGAAACAAGGAGAGAGAGAAAAGGATACAAGAGAAAGGAGATGAGGGAGGGAAGCAGAAGAGAGGAAAAATGAGAGAGGAAGGAAGGAAATAAAAGTGAGGAGATTAAAAAAGGAGTAAGGAAAAGAAGAGGGAAGAGAAAGAGGGATAATAAGGTGAAAGAGAAGGAGGAGCGAGAGAAGCGATGGAGGGGAGGATGGAGAGAAGAAGAGACGACTGAGGGGGAAAAAGTGGGAGAGAAGAAAAGAAGAAAAGAAGAAGCGAAGGACGTGGGATCCAGAGCAGACGTCCTGAAACGAGCTCGACAGGAATCACGAGTTTGGAATTCTTTCCTAAAGAATCCAAAAAGTCCTCCACAGATTCGCTGTCTTTGAACGTTACTTCAGTCTCCTGAAAAGGGCCAATCCGGTGGTTTTCCACGTTGTAGCTCATTAACTTCAAATCCCGCTCACTTAAACATTACTGCAGGACTTTTTCCAACGCATGCCACACTGTCCGAACTCATTTCTTACCAGGCAGCAGTTGGTTTTACATAATTACAGTTCGGAATAAATATCAACTAGACGAGACGTTTTTTTTCAAAGATTAATTCATCTATGTTGTTTACATTTATTTTACAGAAATATCTCAATATTCTGTAGCTTAAATAAGAAAGCTACTGCTACTTTAGCTTAGCATAAAGACTGGAAACAGACCCAGACACCCCTGTGAAACCACAAGGTGCCGGGTTTTGTACAGATTAAACAAACAAAGTATGACGTGCTACTTTAGAGATGCTATAGAAGACGGAGTTTGGTATCTCTTCACAAAGCTTTATGCTAAGCTACGCTAACCTGCTGATGTCCACCCTTCACTCAATAGCAAAACTGGTGTTTCCCCCTCATGTATTCATGAAATATCATTGACTTCAAACATAAATAACATAAAGATTGATTCGTTTTAAGGCTCTAAAAGTTCATTTTAAAAGTTTACATGATGAAATGACTGTAAGCGACTGATATGAAGTCAGTGATCCTTTAAGAAACACTGTCTAACGTCAGAATATTTGTGTGGGGAGTGTTCCTCTTCTTTTTTACAGTAACATCATATTCCCTCAACTCTGTGTTTCCTCTCCTCTTCCTATTTTTTAGTAAAGAGTTTTAGTAAGTGAAGAGTTGTTGTTTTGCGTTATTTTTTAATGGACTTTGCCGCCACAGTTTGATGACAGTGCATTCCTGAGCCTTTCAGTTCCCTTTGGTACAAACAGGATTACTTAATAGCTGCAGTCTGTGTGTGTGTGTGTGTGTGTGTGTGTGTATTTATACGGCTGCATTATTTATGTTTGCCCCCACCAGCAGAGTGTATGACGGCCTCATGTACTCTGCCAAACCAATAAGACCAAATTATATTGTATCCTGATTCTATACAGTCGTCTGTTCTCTAATAGACACAAAAGAAACCATTTAATAAACCACAGCACAGCAGTGTGTGTGTGTGTGTGTGCGTGTGTGTGAGTGTGTGTCAGGGGATCAGACGTTGCTTTTGCGTGTTTACAGACTCGGCATTTTCTCAGTCGACAGTAATTGACTTAAAGCTCGGAGCTCGTCAGAAGTCGGATGTTCGGAAATCCTCGGCTGACATGTTTGCAAAGCAGGTTTAATAATCAGGACGTGGAGCAAATTTAAAAAGGAAGACATAAAGTTTTGTTTGCAGCATTTCAGTGCCAAAAAAAGTAAAAGTCTATGCGCTCTGACATTTAAAAAACGTTTCCCCCCATTTGTGAAGAAAACAACTTGGTGAGGTTTAGGGACAGATCGTGGTTTGGGTTTAGAATAAGCACTTCATCAAGGTTAAAGGATCTTCGTCACTATTGTTACAACAATAAACAAGTGAAGAAGGTTAGGGAGCAATCGTGGTAATGGTGAATAAAAACAACAGTCTCCTGTGCTTAAGTCGGACGTTTTGGCGACCTATCCATCCACCACAACATCCTTTCTACTTTGTGGCTCTTTAAAAAGGTCTCTTTACTTCTTCTCTTGCTCCCGTCATAATTAATACAGCTGCTAGACTTTGGGCTGGATCACTGTTCTCTAACTCCTTCTCTTTTCTGCTTCTTCTTCTCCTGTATTATTTAATATTTGTGGAGTTTTGGTTCTGACATCTGAAAATCAAACTTTAAAAGGACACAAAAGTCCTTGTAACTTAAAGATAATTTATAAGCTGCAGAAAAAAGGTTGGGAACCGTGTTTTAAATCTGCACAACGGCCTGGGAACTGAACCCTTCTCTATATGATACATCAAGGACAGATGTTCAAAATGTCCTGGTGTGTATTAATACAGATGTTATTTTTGAGATTGAGATTGAGATAAGATTGATTTAGTCCGATACTAATGTCTGTCTTTTTGTGTGTGAGTGTCCTAAAGAATGTGAAGCTTGTCTTATCTTTGCATCTGTTTGGGTTTGAACATGTGTGTATATGATGAAATGTAAATTGTGAAGAGTAAATTATCAACAGGGATTAGGTCGATTGTAAAATAGTTTCCATCTTCCTCCTTAACAGAGAAAGAAAAGAAAAAAGAAAGAAAGAAAGAGAGAAACTGGAGAGAGGAGAAGGAGAACATTAAAGTTTTAAACTTGGAGAAAAGACACAGAAAGAAAATGTTAATGATTGGTGACGAGCGCGAGTCTCGTGGTCGCCGCGGCAGCCACCAACCACAGAGACGGTTGCCATGTCATCATGTCAGAACATGTTTATTTATGCTGCTGTACCGCTGAACACACACACACACTTAAACCAAGATACAGACACACACACACATTCAGACTCCCCTTTTAATCAGTCCTCATAACTGTATGAATGCCATAACACACACACACACACACACACACACACACACACACACACACACACACACACACACAGATGTTCCCTGTGGAAAGATGAGTGTTTCATACTTGCCCTTTACACGCCCGAAAAAGCTCACATTTACACACTCATACAAAGATGCACACACATACCCAGATAAACACGTTAATGAAAATGTCATGACACACACACACACACACACACACACACACACACACACACACACACACACACACACACACACACCTCATACATGCATTAGGAAAATGACTGGATCACAGGTTATGAAGCCGCCTACAGTCGTTTCAGCTGTAATTGAGAGCAACTGCAGAACAAGAGTTCAGCTGCAGTTTAATCGCTTCTTTTACAGAAACCAGCACGAGTTACTTTCAAACCTTCACTCAGTACCTGTGATATCTGTGACAGCATATATTGATTATTGATAAATATTGGTTGCCTCGAGCTCGGTGAGTGCGACTAGAGAAGCCTGTAAGTTGTGTTTTTAGTCATTTCCCGACTGGTATAAACTGTATTTCTTTCACAATGTTTTTAATTGTCTGGACGAAGGTTGTTTTTCTCTGTTATGTGAAATCTGAAAGTTTTGCATCTGGAGGACTGAACTAACATTCACATTGTTCACTGAGGCTTGCAGGTCCCAGGCCCAGTCCTCATAACAGTTCATCAATATTCACATTAACTGACCTGATCTGAAAAAGAAACTCCAGCGTGGTAATTTATCCAACCTACACACTTCCTTCATGAATTATTATTAAATTATTCAAAATTATTAGGGACCTGAGTTTAATTTTAATTAAACAACAACAGCAGCCTCCTTGCATAGAATATTTAAACTTACAGTGACTTCCTTGCCCTGAATTTCGTATTTCAGGAGGTGCATACTTCCAGATCAAAGGTAAGATGTTCATTATTTTATGCTAACGACTGTAGAAGAAAAGAATTGATAGAAATAGAAGCAAAATAAGAGTCAACATCGTGTTGTTTTCCACCTCTGGAGACAACTGTTGGCGAGTAAAGGACCCAAGTTTGATGCTGAACTCACAACGTTTCTTCCAGACTGGTGATTAAACAGCTGATAATGCTAACGTTAGCTTTGCAGCAATTAGCAAAACTTACAAATAGCTCCTTTGAAGAAAACAGACAGGTTTTGGTATTTTCACAATAATGCAGCGTTATTCACATAAACACCTTTAACCAGCTAACTGACGAGTAGGTTTTTACCTGGTCAGGTACCAGCGGCTGCTCGTCATCGATGTCAATAAAAACCTCCCCAGAAAAGTGAGGCATGTCACCTGCACAGACAAACACACATCAGAAAGACATTGTTAACGTTAATGATCAGTCAGGCTCTTTGTTAGACACGTTCACATCCATACATCCATCCATCCATCCATCCATCCATCCATCCCCCGTCTTACGTCTCCATCCCTCCTCCTCGTCCTCCGTCACCACCGCTCCTTCCTCCTCCGGGTTACACCGGTACTCCTCCAGCGAGCGGATGGTGCACTGACCGACCACCGGCTTCCTCCCGAACTGACGGTTATCAATGATTTTGATGACGATCGGCGGCATGTAGAGCTCCTCGCGGGGAAGTCTCTGTGGGGAGAGGAGGGAGAAGAACATGATGATGGAGGAAGAAGAAAGAAAGAAAGAAAAGGGGAAAAAAATATGAAAAAGATATCCGCTCAACCTGCAGCTGCACCTAACTCTAATTGGTTATGCCACTTTCCTACCTGATGCTGATTGGCTATGGCTGCTGACTGTCTGAAGTTGATTGGTCACGCCTTGGTGACCGTCCAATCAGGGCATCGTTACACCTTAGCTGACCCCTCCCGCGTGAAGGGAGAAATGACTGAATTCATGGAGGTAGAGATTTGATCTCGGAGACAGAAATCAGGGCACAAACGTCCCTTTGACTTAAGATCAATTTAGGATTTAAAATAAAAGTTTACATCCGACTGTCATCAAATGTCAACACGGCAGTTTGAATTATTGTCATTATTATTGTTCTTAGAGCAGAAATCTTACTCAGCAAAACGTTTGTCATTTAATTATTATTTTTTTGCATTAAAACTTTAAAACAGCTTCTTTCATCACAAAGACACCAGAGCTGACCTTTTCAACAAAACATCCACTTACTTTAAAAAGGAGCATTTTGTGCTCCTTTGTTTATCAATGATATATATATATGTTGGTTTTATTTCTGTATATTAAAGTGTTAGCTTAAAGCTTTTTTTTAGTATAATCAAGGAGCCCAAAAACAGTCTGACATTTTTGGGATATATGCTAAGAGTTAGATCGGATTGATTAAGGTTTGTTTGAGAATGTAATAAAACTGCAACTTGCGTTTTCAAAGCCAGAGGTCGAACTGATTACAGGTACCAATAAATATAGAAAACTCAAACCATCTGAGTCAGTCTGTCTTCAGGATCCTGTTCAATCTGTCAATTAAAATTTCAGCAACTGTCACTGTAGTCGTGCATCTTATATTTCCTACGTCTCTCGAGCGCTTCAGTAAACTCAGAGAGCGAAGCTTCAGAACACAAACAGACCATCACTTGACCTGCCTGGCTTGTTGAAGGCTTGGTGCCGATTACATAAGTGTCAGCTGACAGACGTGAAGCCGAGCAGAGCTCGTACACAAGCGTCTGCGAAAATCGCTTCGCGTATTCGAGAAACCTCTCAACAACTGTCACAACAAAACAACTGACGCGATCGGCTTCACTTCACTTTCACCTCTCCGGCTTTTTATGGAGAGAGCTGAGGTTGTGGCTAAAGCCGATTCTGCTGCTGCTAAACCAGCTACATGTGAAGACAATATCTCCACAATAGTCTCATTTAACCAGGCCGGCTCAAGAGGGGGGAAAAAAGAGTTGGTGACTGTAATCCATTTGACCTCTCTGGCTTTAAAAAAGGCTTAAGTGGGGCTGATGATGTTAAACTCACACAATAAACTGAGAGAGCTACCATTAGGTGGTTAGACCCCTTCAAAGAGTTATATTTAAGGAAACTATGCACATGACATTTTCTTATGCCCCTGTGGCATACGAAAACACTTACGCAGTCAACTTAAGACCTTAATATTGTTAACGTTAAATGCTTGGACTCAGCTCAGGGGGTTGAATTTAAGGGAAAACTATGTACATATTTCCACAGTCCGGTGGAGGCTGTCGTACCCTTAGCAGTGGTCAACGCAGGACCTTAATCTTGTTAACATTAAAGCGCCGGAGCCAAAGCAAGGATCTGTATTTAAGGGAAAAATATGTGAGTATTTCCATACTCCAGTTAAAGCTGTCATAATAAAACACTGAGGTGATCAACTTCAGACCTTAATATTGTTAACATTAAACTCTCTGAGTCCGTTTTTGGAGCTGCCGTTAGGAAAAAATGTGCATAATATTTCCATATTTCAGTTTTCAAAAGAAAACACTTAGGTGGAATGCAATGGCACCGATGTAAACTCAGTGGAAATATACTCTCAGAGGACAGTTTTACGTTTCAAGAATAAATAACGACTGTTTTGCTCTCGATATTGTGGTTTGAATGATTTAAATAAATGGCTGAATCAGAGACACTTTCTGCAGGGTGACAGTGAAGCTGAGGTGTAGTTTGGCTCAGAAAGTCTTTTTTTTTTACGACCATAAAAGCCTTTATTAAAGCTGGTATAATCAATAATTTTTGTATTGGCTATGGAGCATATGACTACTTGAATGTGAAAGTGGGCGCTCGTAGGGATGAACCCACAGAGAATCATCATCTGACTCTAAAGTTCCCTTTAGCTCTGATGAGCTTTATAGCATCTTTTAGCGTTTAGCTTTAGCTTGTTTTGGTTTTTAGACCCACAACTTTACTGTTTTTGTTCTATCACATTACTCTCATAGTATCATTTTAGCCACATAGACTGCTGTTTCCAGCACACACATAAAAAGTTATTAACACCAGCTGTATGATACCACACCAGCACCAAACAGCAGACAAAGTTAGCAGCTAGCTTGAAGCATTGAGCAGCTAAAGAGGCAGATATTTCTCTCAGGAACTAGTTCCACTGCAGCTGAAAGAAGTGGCTAAAGAAAATCACTTATTGCAGGTTTAAAGTTTAAAATACAACATTGTGCATTCAGCTTTAGATTCATCGTTGACAGAAACTGGCTTCAAAATATCTTGTGATGTATAGTTTCACGCTTTAAAGGTGCAACAGGTAGAAAAGCTCCTGGAAAAGCTCGTGACTGCACACTGCATTTTCTTTGTCAAATTATTTACTTGCTTCCTGTGCTGTTTGTTGTGAAGAGCGGCAATGCACCCAATAACAATCGCACTCTTTGATGTGCACAAAACAAATTGGCCAAAAAAAAAATAAAATGCTTAATGTTCTTTTTGATAAAAGTCGTGATCCTGGTCTCCTCTGAAGAGGAACTTCACAGATGCACAAAGATTATAAAAATGTGAGATGTACTTCAGCTGAGGCAGGATTTCACTGGATGTCGTCCCAAAGAGGGGACAACCCCCGCCTGGCTCATATTTAGGACGCTGCTTGAAAACCCAAAAGTTCATCCACAAACGTTCGCTCAAGATCAAAACAAAACTATTAAAATAAAGAGGGAGATGAGGGAGTTATTAGACATGCAACATTTAGGGGACAGAAATTATAAAACTGAGGGAATCGGATAAGAAATTTGAGGATGTATGTTAATAATTTGAGGGAGTGTATTATAGACCTGCACTTTACTGCATGCTTATTCCAGCTGCATGAAGGCAACAGAAGAAAGCAGCTGTTCTCGCGGTAACAGTCATATTTCCTAGTTTGCAGCTTTGACCTATTCCCTCTTGAGAGAGTTACCGCAGCTTGAGCCCTCTGGGTGCCGCATGAACATCATACTTAATTGTAGTTTCCTGTGGTTTACTGTAATCTGTAGTAGACATAAAGAAGCCAATTGCTATGAGCCACACGAGTAAAAACTGGAAACAACATGAGAGCATCGCTGCTGCGGCTCGTATCGGCTTCCTGAAGCCGTTTAACGACACCTTCACCTTCGACGGGTCAGCTCCGAACGCTTAAATCCCCTCTTGTTAAATTTACCTTGGCAAAGCAGTTTTATTTTTCCTGTAACTACCATGAATACATAGTTTAGATATTTCTGGATGTTTGCTCTCACTGACTGAACCTGTACGCCAGTGGGACAAGATTTATAATCATGCATTAACCGATTTGTGCCACTTGGGGGCAGCAGAAACAGCCACACAAACCAACTACACCCTAATCAATGTGGCTAATTTGTTAGCAAAGAGCTACATATTTAAACATCCCTTCATCTGACCACAACCTTACTATGAACTCTTTTTGATTTCTGAAATTATCAGAGAGTGATGTGACTTCCCAGGCTGTTAAATAACACACTCTAGCAACTTTAGAAACTATTTTTCTTGAGGCTCCTTGTCCAAACTTCACCTGTTATATTTCAGTGCCATTTCTGGATCGACGGTGATCTCCCAGAGTTTGGAGACATACATGAGCATCGTCCGTTTTTATGAGGCATCAGATCGAGGGAAAGTTATGACCTCTACAACATGACAGCCAGTTTAAAAGCATCTAGTCAGCATTTGTAAGACAGCCACATCCATGACAAAGATCTCCACCCTGCATTTATACTGCATTAGTAATGTATACACTGGTAGCCATGGGAGAAGTCCTCCACCCTGCGTCTTAAATGTTCTTTCAGCTGGAAAAAACAGCCCTGCAACCGAGCTTCTACTACAGCAGCGTCTGCCAACACCCACATTCATCTCAACTCCTTCTATATCTCCTGGAAGAAGAAAAGCAACAGTAGAGTCCAGCAGTTTCTCTCCACCGCCATTATTGTGGCTTCTCTGATGAAGACAAATGACTGACGAAGACCACATCACAGCGGCGCTCTCGTTAGCCATTGAAGCAGCTGGGCCTCCGCGCTGATTACATCTACGTGATCTACGTGATGTGTGCACAAGTGCTCTCACCACATCAAGGATGAGCATGTTGACGTCAAAGTTGGGCTTCTTCTTCACACTGCGGATGACGCAGCTCTGGACCATGGTGCCGCCGCACTCCACCTGCAGGCTGGGGGAGGTAACGCTGGCCATCTGGAAACTCTTCAGGTTACGAACGCCCCACGCTAAGATCTGACAGAGGCGACAGGGAAGATAAGGAAGTATTTAACTACATGTTTCATCTATGCAGTGACTTAAAATAAAAAAATAAAAAATAAAAAATGCACATTGATTTAGAGCGTCAACGCCCAAAGACTTAAACTCGCACAGTGTCAGAGTTGAGTCATGAAAAGAAGGAACTACCTCATGCGATGTGTTGACGACCACATCAGACATCAAAAGTCACAAACAGCTTCACTGGAAGGCGGAGTGAAAGCCCGGCCATCATTAGAGAGAGGGAAGGTGTGATATCGTTTAAAAATGGGCGTAATGGCACTTGGTCATTTCCATTTGAAAAGTTCCATAAATAGCTTGAAAAGGAGGCTGAGAGAGAGGAAGTTTAAACCTCTGGCTCCTCTCTCACCTCGCCACAGCCAATCACGGTGTGAAGTGGGTGTGAGCGGTGGATTGTCGGTTTCGGAAAGTTACAGAAATGGTCAGACACGGCGCCTCCAAAACCTAACGTCGTAAAGGTGAGAGGGGAGGGGGTTTCTGAAGCTTTCTGACCATCCAACAAGAGGTTGACGCTTCAAACCTTTCACAGCCGTCGTTCAAGTCTACAGGAGCTCAGTGTTTCATACTCAAAAAAAATATATATTTTCACTTGAACATGAAAAGCTTCCAGGAAAGTTAGTGCTGACGAGAAGAAGTTCAGCAGAAAAAATACGACCACAGTAATAATAAATCACAATAGATCTTAGACGAACCTCAATGGCGGTTCTCTGCAGAACAGGTTTGATTCCCTGAGGAACCATGAAGACGTTGGGTTCCCTCTGAGGAGGCGGGTACGGAAGGTCCGACTCGTCCGGCTGCCAATAGGAACGCAGGACAGTGACAGAGTCAGCAGGGGTTAATCGAAAATAAACTAATAAAACTAAATAAAAAACAGTAACATAAATAAATGTTTAATTTGTAGATGTTGAGTATTAAAATGTCAATGAGTGTTAAAACCATAAAAAATAACATTCAAGTCGAGACAAATGCAGTTTCTGTTAAAGCCACCGATATAAAATCCTGCAGAAGGCTGGAGAGGACGTGTGTGTAATTTTATTTTATTATTTTACAGCCTGTTTTCTTCTGATAAACAAACAGCAAACAAAATCTAATCATATTTACTTTGTTATATTTTCAAATCTTATTCTTCAAAGACAAATTTCCATTTTGTGCGAATCTAATGAACAATAAAGTTTTATTTTTCTATCTATTTTGTGTTGAGAAATTGTCAAAAAAAGTTTCTACACTTGTCCTCTCTGGGCTTCCATACACATCAACAAAATATGTACCAGATAAAAATGTTGTTAGTGAGATTATGGAAACACAAAACATCGGCAAGCTTAGACGAAAACCAGATGAATAGTTGAAGCTTATATGAAGGACGCTGTCTCACATGCATGTATGTTGAAGCGTGCGTTGTACAGTGAACAGACACACAGAAATGAATGAATGTGGATGGATGTGGGGGGGGGGGGGTTTGGCGTGTATGTGTGGCACATTGTACCCATTGCTGCAGGTTTTCAGAGAGGAATCCTGAAAACATCAACTGTCGAAGCAACGACAGAGAAAAAGAGATGAAGAAGAAAAAAGATTAGAGAAATAACAGGAGAAAATCTCAGCACAAAGATAAATGATCAAGAGATACTGTGATTAATTGGTTTCTACATGTCGTATTCTGCACAAATATTAAATTACTGAATAATACATGATAGTAATGATTCATTCGGAGGAAAGGATTCTTCCATTGTCTCCGCAAAACCATCAAATTACACATATTCCCACAGGTTTTATCGCTTGTGAGGGGAAGACATGGAAGAGTAAAAGCATCGTTTTGATTTCTAATAATCACATCAAATGGAAAAATAATATCAAAGATATTTTTTTAATTGATAAAAAAAATGGGTAAAATTGCTTCCAGGAGACCTCCAGTGTTCCAGTTATCAGATTAATACATGTAGGCCTGGTTTTACGCTGACGACAGCAGTGTAGATGTTGTGACTTGTGGTCGTTGTGGTTTTACCTCGTCCAGAACGTGGGTGGTGGCCATGATGTCTCCCTGTGGGCGAGAAAAAGGAACTGATTTTAACGGCTGAAAATGTAAAAGAGAAAAATAAACAGTAAAGAGGAAAATAAATGAGGAAAAAGTGGAAAAAAGGATAAAATGAAAAAGACAAACTGACCTCTTGACCTGGAATATGGTGGATTCCTGGCTGTGGACACAAAATGGAGAGATGAGTTATTGTTAGAAGACGTTATAAGAATAGATTAGGAAACTGACGCTAAGGTTGACCTCTGACCTTTTCCCTGCGTATGAGCTCGAAGGCGGCCAGCAGCTCGCCGGCGTTCTTGTCCCCTCTGCGGATCGGGAACCAGGCCAGACGGGGGGAGGGGGTGAAGGTGGGCTGGCACACGCAGCGGCCCATGAATTCATCTGCTCCCTGGGCGTTTTTAAAAATAGACACTTATACGATCTTTATACACGGAAAAACATCCATTTTGTTTTTCACACGAAATTGACAAACTATCGCAAAAAAGCCAGGATGAAATATAAAATATATATTTTTTAAAAAAAAAGTGAATCTTCATGGACTCACGTATGTGTCCTGATCGTAAAGCTCCACCACGACGTTGGGAGGGTTGGCCATCGCGGCCTCGGCGTCGCCAAAAATCTCCAACTCATAGAAGATGAGCGTCTGGTCCCAGCAGGGGTTCAGACTGTTGCGCACCGTCACCGTCCGCTGGGACTGATGGAGGAACGACACGATGGCGTAGGGGTCTGGAGGGAGGGAGGGAGAGAGAAACCGCCAAGTGTTAACTGCGACCACTGATTTCTGAAGTTTGACCTCAATAATGTTTGTGGTCGGACAAAGATTTACTCATTTGGCACTTTTATCCAAAGTAACTTACAGATGAGGGACAACACTAAAGCTTCAGTGCAGTAGGAGACCTTGAAGTAGGTACTAAGTATTAAATCTATTCAATAAGGCGAAGGGGCGTGGCCAAAGTTAGACCGTTAGGATGAGGAGTTAGGGGAGGAGACTGCCTCGTGTGCGTGGATGGCACGGAGGAGCGCGGCATAATCGAGTCTCTGTAGGCGAGCATTAACGGCTTGAACGTGATTCAGGTGGCGGCCGTGTGCAGCCGGTGGAGGTCAGCGCGCATCAGAGTGACATGTGACCTTTTCAGGCTGATCAAAGACCAGACGCACCACTGCATTCTGGGCCGTGCAGCCGTTAGCACGCCGACTGAGGAAATGCCAGCTGTAATGGCAACACAAAACTCAGTCCACTGGAACACAAGGCAGTATGTAACGTCTGCCCAGTGTGTGTGTGTGTGTGTGTTGTGTGTGTGTGTGTGTGTGTGTGTGTGCGCTCTTGTACTCTGGGTCATAAGCCTCAATGATGAGGTTAATGTTGGAGCCAGGGTGTGTTGTATAGCAGTCACATACAGCAAAATGTATGTGTGTGTGTGTGAGTGTGTGTGTGTGTGTGTGTGTGTGTGTGTGTGTGTGTGTGTGTCCAAACTATCCCGACGTCCCACACGGTGACATCAGCAGCTTGGGAATGCCGAGCTCGAGACGCAGGGCTGGGAACGCCGCTCGGAGAAGTTTGTTATTCCAGGTCACAATCACTCTCCTCCATGTTAACACACACACACACACACACACACACACACACACAACATGGACACATGTATGTACAGTTACATACACACACACACACAGACTGAGTAGTTTGTTATTCCAGGCCCAGTAAAGAGTCTCTGCGGAGCCGTTAGCATCAGGGTAAACAGAAGCTAAGTTGCATTTTCCCACCAGCCCTCAATTAACCCCGGAAGTGACACACACACACACACACACACACACACACACACACACACACACACACACACACACACACACACACACACACATACATAACCCCCCTGGGCTGTTTGTATTGCTGTTTATATGAGCTAATGGGCTGCTGGGAATGGACATAATTGAATAGGTCACCACTGGTGTGTGTGTGTGTGTGTGTGTGTGTGTGTGTGTGTGTGTGTGTGTGTGTGTGTGTGTGTGTGTAGAGGGAAGCAGCAGTAGTCGGGACCCCAGTGGGAGCCACAGAGGTACATAAACACAATGAAGAGAGAGAGAGAAGGAGGGCAAAGACAGAGAGACGGGGGGGGAGGAGACGGGTGAGGGATAGAGGAGAGAAAGAAAGGGGGAGAAGAATGAAGAGAGGGTAGGAGGAAAAAAAGACCAGAAATAAAAGAAAGAAAGAAAGAAAGAAAGAAAGAAAGAAAGAAAGAAAGAAAAGTGAAAGAAAGAAAGAGATCAGAAGAAAGACTTCAGTCTTTGATAGTCGACTCGCTCTTTAATCATGGCCGCCCAAACTCCATGTAACACCAGATTAACACACAACTGAAGCCCATCCATCAACTCTACTCATCCATTAGACTGTGTGTGTGTGTGTGTGTGTGTGTGTGTGTGTGTGTGTGTGTGTGTGTGTGTGTGCGTGCGTGTGCTAACGAGGGTGAGTCAAGGAGAGTGATAGTGATTTATCATTTCAGTCTGTGGCCAGGATGCCGTCTCTCCCTCGCTCTCTCTAACCAACCTCCCTCCCTCCACCTCCATCATCTATCATCTCTCTCTTCCTCTGTCTATTCATCCCTCTGTTTTTTTAAAGCCTCGTCTCTGTTTTTACATCTGAGTCTGCGGTGGGTTTCTGATTAACACACACACACAGTAGCCTGAGTTTCCATGACCTCTTCAAATAAAAGAACATTTTCTCTTTTCTTTTTTTTTTTGCTCTCTCTCTCTCTTTCTGTGTCATTCTTTGTTTCTGTAACTTTTTTCTTCTCTCTCTCGCTGCCTCACCACTAACACTAACATCAAACTCTTAAGTTATAATCTAAGTTTTGAAACATTAGTGGAGCTTTAATGTGCTGAATATTAAAGCTCCACGCTTTCTTTTATTTTCCATAAGCTCCGTCTTCCTCCCCCCGTGTTTAAAAAAAGACGCCGTTTTGTATCTGTGGAGTTTGATCTTCCAGAATAAAAGCTCGATTTTATCCTTATATTTTCATCTTCGAAGTTGATATGGTGAAATTGAATTTAAAGGTGCAGCTGCAAGTGCAGAGCAACGTTAGCATTTATTTGGAGTTCAGTTATATGTTATATGTGGCTGCTAAGCTAGCCGCTAACTTTGTCCGTCTGTCGTTTGGTGCTTTGATGGTTTACTGGAGCTTTTATGCTGAAAATATCTGCTGCGTCTGTAGATGACACTGAAAAACAAAACAATGAGCTGGGTAATGTTTAATAATCTGTGGATTCATCACTACAAATAATGCCTTACACATCACAGGTAGCATTTAATCTATTGTTAATATAAAAATATTGAGTGTTGCAGCTTTAAAGACGCGTCCTGAGATGTTTAGTTCTTGTCTTTATGTCATATTTATTCTTTAAATTGGTTTCATTGTACACAGAGTATACCGTGCTTCTTTATTCCTGCTTTTTCTTTTTCTTTTTTAAACCTTGCACTCTTGATTATTACAGCGCTCTTCAATGCCACAGTTTCTCTAAAGCTTGATGTATTGCAATGATGATGATGATGCAGTTCATCTAAACAGGCGCCATCAAGTTTAAAGTACAAATATGAACATGCAAAGACCTGAAAGCTCTTGGTGATCATCACATTCAATGCAAAGTTGGTTTTTTTGTCTAATTTGCACCATCAGGAACTTTCTCTGAAAATAAAACTCAGCTGGTAAAAAAATAGATACGTAAAAAAATAAAAACTAATCAGGAAAAAAAAAGATGTTTCATGTTCCCGAGGCTCCCTCCCCTCTGTCTCTTTCACTTTCATTTTTACAAGTACCACGTTCCAGCCACCGGATGGCGCAATTCATCAGCATCAACACTGATGTATGAGGGAAAACATGTGCATTACCTGAGAAACTGTCTTTGTCCATGGCCACCAGGTCTCTGGCTTGGTACAGGTAGCAGCGCAGGTGATAACGGGTGCCACCTACACACACACACACACACACACACACACACACACACACACACACACACACACACACACACACACACACACACACACACACACACACACACACACACACACAAGTTGAGGGGTGATGAAGGTGGAGGAAGAAACAGGAGAGAGTAAAAGTAAAAGAGTGTGTGTTGTCTCACGGTCAAAGAAACAGGAAATGGTCGGTCTGTTGACTCCGAATGTGGTTGTGACGGACTTGTCGTCGTTCTTGTCCTCTATGCTGCTCTGTGGGAGGAAGAGGAGGAAGAGGAGGAAGACGAAGGAAAGGAGAAGGAGAAAGGAGGATTAATATCACATCCAGAAAGAACAGGGAGAGGAAACTCTAACCTGAGGCTGCGAGGAAAACACTTTCTGCAGAGGCCTTCAAAATAAAAGACTGCTTTAATCTACACCCCTGTAGATGTAGATGACCCCCTTGTGTCTATTTTAGACACACACACACACACACACACACACACACACACACACACACACACACACACACATTAACCGACTCCTCCTCACCAGAGAACACTCCAGAGCAAAGATGGCGGCCGGCCCCGTCTTCTCCAGAGGCTCCATGCGGTACCTCCACCTGCGCCTCCTGAAGCTGTCCGTCTTCCTGGGCTTCAGGTGGAACTTCCAGCCGAACAGCGAGGCGTACTCCCAGCCTTCCCGCTCCGTCTCGTCCGGACGCTGCTGTGAAAACACACACACACACACACACACACACACACACACACACGTTTATCCATTTCTGTATTTGTACCAAGTTGATGAGACCATCAGTTTCACACAGACGTTCACTTTATCATATTATTTATCACTTTAAACAAAGATGTCATGTCGGACATTTGGATGTAATCAAGTTTTAATGGATCTGTTTGAAAGAAAAAAGATGTTCATCTTCATCTCTCGCTCATTTGCACAACTGGACCTCCATCTAGTGGTCGATAAAGGTAACTTCAGGTCGACATGGTGGAGACTGAGGATCTTCTTTTTGATTTTTTTGAAATTGATTCAAAGAATTAAGGAATATTATTTTGGTCCATCTCCACTTTCCTTCTTTAACTCTTTTGTTGAACCTTGTGTTGGAGTTCAGTTGCATTTTATCAAACCTTTTCCTATTTTTATATTTGAGCGTCTCTTTTAAAATAAAACGATCCATCGATTTAGGTTTTATTATATAACAAAATCTAAAGCTGCGTCTCTGTCTCTGTTTACCTTTCTGAGAGCGTCCATCTTCTGTTGGTCTCGCCGCCTCATCCGTATCCACCGCCTACGTCGGTTGGTGTGGTACATCTTCTCTGCCGGCACCCACGACTTGGGGCGGCGGTCTGGAGGGATGGTGATACCGTACTCCCAGCCTGGAAACACACACACACACACACACACACACACACACACACACACACACACAGAGTGGTATTAATTAGTGTTTAGTCGAGCTCTTGTTGTTCACGGGGGTTGTTTTGTGTGTGTGTGTGTGTGTGTGTGTGTGTGTGTGTGTGTGTGTGTGTTTTCTAACCTTGATCGTCCACGGCCCTGTTGAGATCTTCACTCCACTCCACCTCCTCCCACACCCAGCCCGGAGGACACTCCACCTCGTCCTTCGGCACCGCCTTCTCCCCATTCTGACAAACACACCGATTTTAGATTTACACAGATGAACGAAGCTACGATGAAACACACACACACACACACACACACACACACACGTACACACACACGTACACACACACACACACCGTACCACATCTGTGTATCCCTCCGGCATGCCGATCCACTGTCCGCCTGGTAACCTCATCTGGTTTTCAAACACTTCCTCAGTGAAGGTCATGTGACCGGCGTCCACATCGAACAACAGTCTGAGGGTTTAGCAAAAATAAGGGGAACAAACCAGATCATCAACATCATCAGAAACTGAACTCAGTGGAACGATTCAGTGATTATTCAGTGATGTGTAGTGCAACAATTATAAAGTATATTATAATATACATCAAACTCAGACACACACAGAGAGACTCACGTCTTCTCGGGGCTGATGTACCAGTCTCCAGCCCAGCTCCAGCCGGGCGACGGTTTGAAACTCTCTTTGGGGAGTTTAACTCGTCCGGTGACGTCACTGAACTTGGGGTAGGTCAGACCTGTAGTTCCCCAGCTGCCCACCAGGGCGAGCCGGGTCTGGTTCTCATACTATATATGAAGAGAGAGAGAGAGAGAGAGAGAGGAACACATTTTGTGCTTATAGCATCTTTTAAATTATAATTATTATTATTAAGTTTTTGTCTGTGGAACAAATAAAGCAGCTGCAGTTAAAGCGGTGCAGTCTACATCTATATCATACACCCCGCAGCAGCAGGTATCTTACCGTCTCAGCGAAAACTGACAGTTTTCCTTCAGCGTATTGGTTGAAATGTTTGACGTCTGCAGCCAATCCGAACCAGACTTTGACCCTCAGCTGACCAGGAAGTTTGGCTTCTCCACCTGTGCCTTGTGGGTGCTGTACAACACACACACGAGTCAGTTAAACTTTACATCAGGTATGTGTGGTGTGTATTAGTGTGTGTGTGTGTGTGTGTGTGTGTGTACCTTGAGGAAGACAGTCTGCAGCTGTCCACAGTGTTTCCCACAATGCTCCTGGGAGAAGATGACAGTGTGTGCGGGGATGCGGTGGTACGCCACCCTGCGGTCGCCCTGCAGCATCCATATCACTATGTCTGGGAGACTGTTCTGAGGCTGGGCGAGAGACATAGACAGGCACACAGAGAAAAAGAGAGAGAGAGAAAGAGAGCATCATTATATAAATTATAGGACATTATAAATGATTTTGAGAAACGCAGAAACGGTTTGTTATTTCGTCTTTAACAGTTGGCCGGGAGACACAGTAACACGCTCACCTCCTCGGCCATGGTCCTCAGCCTGTTGGCCCAGTCCTCAGCCTGCTCCAGCACCGTGGACAGCTCGGTGGCCGGCCCGTGTTTGAGAGCGAGAGCCGCCGCAACGATCTGCTGCAGGTGCAGAGTGCGGATGTGCCGCAACGAGTGGTCGAGAGGCGTCGCACACTGCCACTGGTCGAGAGAGGGCAGCTCCTCACTAGAGAGAGAGAGAGAGAGAGAAGGAAGTAACTGAAGTGCAGCATCTGTCATTATATTATTGTTTGTGAAAGGAGCATTTTACTGCTGTAATTTGTCAAAATCTAGAGAGTAAAAGTAGAATATTTACTTCTGAAAACACTTAAAAAAAGTACAAGTACCTCAAAATTGTACCCGAGTACTGCACTGTGGTAAATGTACTTAGTTACTTTACACCGCCGGATAAAAACACGGTGTTTTACCTGCAGTCTGTGATGACCTGATCCAACAGCTCCACCACTCGGAGCTCCACCTCCTCCAGCTCGCTGCCTGCGTTCACATCCAGCTGCACCCGCTGCAGGTTCGCCTCCTGGACACACACACACACACACACACACACACACACACACACACACACACACACGTTCAGATAGTGAATGCTTAATTTCAAGGTCTGAAACTCGTAGATCCTCATGAAAATACACGAGGACACACACATAAATAAATACTCACCAGTCTGTCTATGATCGCCAGCAGCATGTTGAGAGCCTCGATCCTCGGTTTGACGTCCTCCCACTCTGAAGACAGAACCACCACCGGCTTCACGTTTCCCCACGGCAGGTAGTAGTAGTGGCAACCTGGAAAACACACACATGAAAATACACACCAATAATCACACCAGTTTACCGGTAAACAAGCTAAACAAATACTTAAATTTACTGCAGACATGACGTCGTTTTGGCGCTTTACTTCAAGTTTAAATGTAGATTTCATCAGATCTTTCCACCCATGACTTGAGCCCCTTCACATACCATCAAACACAGCCCTGCTGAACTGGGTGGTGGAGGCCAGTGGGAGGCAGGTGTAGTCGAACTTGTTGCCGTAGTTGCCGATGCTGACCTCGAACTGGATGGCGTCGTCGACGTCCTGGAGGAGCGTGGCCGAGTAAAACGCCACGAAGAGCGAGAACTTCCTCTTCCGGAGAAACTTCTGCAAGACAGAGGGAAAGATTGAGATGGATGGATGGATGGATGGATGGATGGATGGATCTACATGTTTGTTACTTCCTCTCGCCCTCTCACCTCCACCACCAGCAGGTCATCCGATGGGATGTCTTCAGTTTTCTGCTCCGGCTTTTCCGCCAGCTTTGTGGTCAGTTCCAGTAAAACTCGACCTCGGTACGCGACACCCTCCCCCTGAGAGTCGGAGGAAGAAGACAGGAAGGCATTATTTCATTTTTTTTGTTTTTTTTAAAAGGTGATGACTAATTGTTATTTAAAAATGGAAAAACAAAGGTCAAGTTACTTTTCCGAGGTTTAGAGCCTCGTGGGGGTCATTGAAGGCGGTGAACTCTCTGGGGCTGCCGTACAGGTTGACGAAACACGGACCGAATGTCGGCAGGAAACCAAGACTGTCGTCCACTGCGAGGACACAACATGGACAGTAATTTATTATTATTATAATTATTAACATGGTAGAATGTGGAAGTATAAAAATGAAGAAAAAGCTTGATTGATTAGGATGAAATGATTCAACTGACGAAACAAGATCAGATACAGAATCAGACACAGAGTCTAAATTTAGCCACGGTTGAAACAGATATGAGTTGAAAGGAGAAGAAAATATTAATCACACAAATGAAGAGAGACAGTTGAATTGACAGATGAACTAAAGAGGTGTAGAGAGGATGGTGGACGTACTGCCGGAGTGGACGGTCCGTGGAGTCAAGTCGTCTGAATGCGTAGAGAGGAAGGATGGTTCAGAATCACAGACAGAAAAGAAAAAAGGTGTCTTTGAACGCCACACAAACCCCCAAGCCAAACTAAAAACACGACACATAACCCCCGAAAAATTCAAAAGTTAATGACCTTGACACAAGTTACTCCACTGTGAAAGTGAAGTGAGTGACACTACGTTTAGTAAGGTGCAACGTCTTTCTTACCATGTTAAAGAATGAGACCATTGCCGCCTCTACAGTTGGTTTTAGGGGAAATATCCGCAGGATTTCTTTACGGCACAAAACAGGAAGAGGGCTCTGAATCATCTGAAATATTCATGTTCTGCCTCTGAATCCAGATGTGTTGCTGTGGTAACAACAACAACTAGCGGCGGGACTCACAATGTTCACAATGTTTGGTCCGGACTGAAATACCTCAACAACTATTGGATGGATTGTAATTAAATTCCTCCTACTCTCTGGCGACCATCAGTAGGTCAAACTTTTTCAACTATCTGGTGAAATATCTCAAAATCGTCAACATTTTTCCCCCACGATCGAATGGTAGTTTGAATTTGATGAAAAGCAATGGTCTCATTGATACCAATTATTCTGACAGCGATAAACTGAAGTGCAACAGGCGACACCTTTGCATCACTTTCCAGGTTGTAATAAATGAACACAACCACACAACCCGCCATTTTCTCCTTCTTTGTATTGGACATTTCGTTTCAATCACTGCTTTTTCCAAATTAATAGTAATAATCTGACCTAAAAGACCTATTCTGACTTGGTGTATGATAAAACACCTTAAGTTATCAACACTGTAGAACTGGTGTCTTGATGTTTTCCAAACAAAGACAAAAAGGGAGAAATGGCACCCATCACAGTGACCAAAACTCATGCATGATGCCCCCCCCCCCCAGCACTAGGACAAGGCTTGTACAAGACGACCACGAGTTACTCCGGGGACCGAAAACTCAAGCAATGCCAGCGTTCAGCGCACAAACATACCAGGTTAGTCTTCATGCATGTCACTGAAAAACCGGACATGCTCTGTCACATTCGCAAAGCGCAGATCCATCTGGTGGTTCAAGACGATCTCAGTGACTCTCTGCAAATCATCGCTGATATTTAAACAATAAAACCAAATAAAAGAAAACAGATTAAACATTTGTCGAAGCTAACAACGAGCAAACAAGTCGTTTGTTTTATGACAGGCGACCAAGAAAGAAACCTCAACCCAGAAGGTTTTGTGGGCTTTTTAAATAAAGATACAGGCATGTGATGTTACACACTGACCGGCAAGAGTGAAAAGAAAAGAGCCACACAAACAGTGATGGATGAAAAAGCAAAAATATAACTTAAGGTTTCAGACAAATGTACTTCGGTTGAGCTCCACATCAGGTGATAAAGTGGAACTTGATTTGGGATTGTTTTTGTCGACATGACTAAACTAAACTACATCCTAAAAAAAGACTCACTCCAAACCAAAGCAGACAGGTGAAAGATAACCCACTCCAGATCCAGCCAGTTCTAGTCCGAACCTTACTGCCTGGGTCCGGTCCCGTTGACTTACCGTCTATCTCTCCTCCGGGGGCGGAGACCTTAGACATACAGAGGTGGGTGGTGCCGATGACATCGTTGTGACTGGCTCTGTCCCTGGAGTGAGAGAAAGTCAGAGAAGAAAGAAAAAACAAAAACAAAAGCTGTAACACACGACTTGAATACAAATGTAAATTTGCAAATTTGCATTTGTACTAACTACTTTTTAGAGTCGTGACTTCCTGAAGATCTCGATATATATTGTGAATATACCTTCATAAATCTGCTTAGAAATCATAAAAATAAGCTGAGAATAATCAAGTTTTCTTCAATAATGGAACTGCTAATAGCTAATTCTGCATATTTTTAATGGTGCTAATTAGCCAAAATGTCAAGTTGGAGCCCAAAGTTTAACACGGTTATATTGATCTTGTCTTGCTCCAAACTAAAGACACACTCCAAGTTTTCATGCATTATTCTCTATATTCTGACGAGTCTTATAAAACAACATGTATCGGCCGGGATTCACCAGTCCAGAATTCTGATCCTCATCTTCTCGCACATGGAGGGAAACTGGAGAAGAAAACAGAAAACATACGCTGTATGACGACAATGATGAGCAAGTTGCGTTATAACGTGTGCGTGTGCACTGTTTGGTTGCCTTGTCTCACCCTAATAGGCATGGCCAGACTCTGGTTCCACTGGGGATTGGCGTTCTTCTCCAGAATCTTAGTGCAGATCTGAAAATGAGAGAAAATGCATCTTAATATGTTTTTTTCTTTTTTATATTTGTTGTTGTGTTTGTAATAAAATAATGTTTGGATCAAACGACTTCGATGGAGGTTGTATCGCGTCATACGCACTGTTTTGCCAGCGAAGTGGATTTCCACCAGAGGATCCACCAAGTTCTTCCTGTTGCTGTCAAACCCAAGAATCTGCTTCATCCCATCCATGAAGGCGTCGTCCACTGCGAACGCAAAAGCAATTAAAAAATCTCTACTTTTAAAGGTAAAAAGCACGAATCATAAAACACAGAAAGAGTCTTTACTCTGCGGCAGGTCTTCGGCTCTGAAGATCCTCAGGGTGAAAGTGGCTCCTCTCAGAGACAGACCAGCCGGCCTCAGCAGGTTCCCCTCGATATCCTCTTTGTCCTCCACACACTCGCGCCTATCAGCCTGGGAGACACGCACACACACATACCTGCATATATTAATAAACACCTGCATTCGTTAACAGCGAGACAATTTGCATCAAAAGTCAGACTACTTCCTCTGAACACACGGACATGATGCACACAAAAAACTGGGATCAAGTTGTAGCTGTTTGCCTTATTGACGGGGGGTGAATTCGTCATTATTTTGTCTGAGGGGGCCCAAAGTGTCAGGTGACCTCAGGTGTACTTAGCCTCACCTGTGGTACTTCAGGTTTCAGTGCTAACCGGCTAACATTGCTACGGTGGAACCACATCATGTTAATATGCTAATATTTAGCATATCTTATAGCAAGGCAACATAACATTTCTAATATGTGAAACACTACCATGTTAATGCAAGCGTTTAGCATATTAGCACATCAAAATGATCAGCTATCCGGAATCATCCATCAATATCATATATCATCATAATATTCACTCGCTGATCTTCTCTCATCCAATCAAGACTCACCGGTGGCTCGTCTCCAGCTGCCAAGACGAACAGGCTGACCTTCAGGTAACCTTTGACCCCGGCGGAGAGGTCGTCTGGGTCGCACAGCAGCAGCCATTTCCTCAAGAAGCAGTGTCCTGAAGAGAGTGGAGGAAGTCAAACTCAGATTTAAAAGTAACAACGCAGAACAAATCACCGAAAACACGAAGCAAACTGTGACGTATACTCACGGTGCTCATTGTAGACGGTGCCTACATCCAACTGTGGAGACAAGCAAAATGATTTTTATCTTTTCAAGTCACGTTCCTGCCAGACGTAATACAGGAATACTGACGTTACAGCTGAGATGAACGTTTACCTTGAATTCACCAATCACAGCATCGGTTCTGAGAGAGCGAGAGTCGCACACCTGTAAGACAGGGAGGGAGAGATTTTACATTTTATTCAGAGGAAAATCAAGATCTATAGAAAAGTTTGATTTAAAAAGAAGATGATAGATCGTGAAATATGAATTATTCTGAATGAAGAAAAAAAACAAAAGTCAGACTCACAGTGATGAAGATCGGCTCATCGAACAAGTCTGACGGAGTCTCGAAGAAGTTCAGGAAGAACGTCTGTGGAGAGAAAAACATCAAATCAGATCAACATTGATCGTTCTCAACTATGAAATCAAGATTTTTCTTGCGCCCAACAGTAAAAATGTTTATGTTATGAAGGAAATCGGACAGCGATGAGTAATAATTGTTCACCTCATCAAAGTACGGGTTGTTGCCTTTTCTGATGCGGGTCCTCTTCGTCTGCCCGGATACCGTCACCTTGACGACAGGTTTAATGTTGATGCCCGGCAACTGTCGCCCCTCGATAACTCGCACACGAACCTGGACAATAAGACATTTAGATGCATTAAGCAAATAAAGCATTTTAAGGGCTGAGGACTCTTAAATCCAGGAGCCAGCTCACCGGGTTGTGTGTTATTTGGTTTTGCTAAGCCACTATACGTCCCCATGTATAGGTGAGTGTCTTGTGTACCTGTAGGTCCTGTGGTTTGTTAGGCAGAGGTTTGGACTGACTGCTGGCTCCTCTCCTCCTCTTCCTCAGA